CTTTCATATATAACTATAGCAGTGTTAATTCTATGTATCATATTACAAATTACATCTTTAGTATTTATTTGTCTTATAACTAGAAGTCTGCATCTTTTGACTGCCATCCAATTCCCCCTCCGCCACCCCTCACCCCGTTAATCACAAATCTGACCTCTTTTTTTTTTTTTTGACCTCTTTTTCTATGAGTTTGTTTGTCTGTTTTTGAAGTATAATTGACCTACAACACCATGTTAGTTCCTGGTGCACAATACAGTGGTTCAATATTTCTATACATTTCAAAACAATCACCGTGAAGTCGAGTTGTCATCTGTCACCTTACAAAGATATTACGTAATTACTAACTATATGCCCGGCACTGTACATTTCATTCAGCTTTGTTTTTCACATTTAGGTTGCCATTAATCCATCTGGAGTTTATTTTTGGTGTTTGGAATAAAGCAAGATTCAAATGGTATCTTTTTCCATGTAAAGGGCCAACTGTCTTTCATAATAGCCCCACTGAAATGCTATTTCTGTCACCTTCCAAATTCCATTATTCATGAAGGTCAGTTTCTATGCTCTCCTATCCCACTCTTCTGTTGGTCTCTCCTTGCACCAATACTCACTACCTTAATTATTACTGATGAATAATGCAATATCTGTATTTGGTAGGACAAGTGATCCTGCCTATTGTTCTTAAAAATAATCTTGGCTATTTTGAATCCCTATCTTTGCCAAATTAATTTTAGAAGGAGCTCATCATGTTTTACCACCACCCCTGCAAAAGACAAAAGATTCTGTAAGCATTCTGCCTGAAATTTTATTAATTTGGGGAAGACCAAAATATTTACAATATTGAGTCTTTTCATCTATAAAATCTCTCTCCATCTTTTATGTCCTTCAAGAAAGTTTTAACAATTTTCCTCATAAAGAACTTACTTGCATTATGTTAGATTTATTTCTAAGTATCCTATATTTTAGTTGCTATTTATCTTGTAATCGGCAACTTTTAAAGATTTCATATTAATCCTAATAACTTGTCTGTGGATATTCTTGACAATTTTGTTTCTTCCTTTATACCTTTTGTGGTTTTCATCTTATTAAAGTGCCTAGGACTCCAAAATAATGTTGAATAGAAGTGGTGATAGTAGAAACCACTGTCTTCTGCCTGAATTTAAAAGGAAATGCTTCAGATATCTCACTTGGAAGTATGATGTTTACTGTAGGTTTTTGTTGGCCTTCCTGTTCAAAATGTACACAGTAGTTACTGCTATTAACTATATATGAGTTCATCCGAAAATTTAAAAGTAACCAAACTCCCCTACACTTTATAAAGTCATTGCTTCCTTTCATCTGTGGCTGGATTTACAGTCATCTATTTATAGCTGTACCCCTCCCTTATTCATTACTCTTGCACAGAATGAATTATTGTCTTGCCAATTCTTATTCTACCTTTTAAGATCATTTATGTCATCACAGTCATAAATTTCATTTGAACTTTTTCTACAATCTCTTGTTACAATGTTTCTTTTGCTTTGCCTGCTTATAGCTACCAGGATTGGATTATACTTCAAAGGAGGCCAACTTCCATGCCAAGCTACCATGGAGACACTAAAGAAGTAATGAGAAGACTGCTGCTCCCATGGAAATGCAACAAAAGCAGGTTACCCCACACACTACTAGACCAATGCTTAAAAAACATTTTACTTAATGTTCCCAACTCACCTCTAGCCCCTCACCAACTGTTCTGGGGACTGTTATTTGGCAAAACTTTATTGAAAGCTAACATACCATCTTATTCCCTCAGACCATGTGAGGCCTAAGACTGGACACATTGCTTTTCATGTCCAATAAGAAATATGCCCAGGATACTTATTCTGTTGAAGTGGAGGCTGTCAAAGATGTAAAAATACCTGTTCTAACAGTTTCTTTACAGATGAGTTAACTGAGGTCAAAATAAATTAGGTGATTTGTACAAGGTCACACTAGTAAAAAGCAGAACTGTAAACTATGCTCGCAGCTCCTTTCACTGTAAAATGACTGCAAATTATGCATCCATGGACCTCTAGAATGTAACATATGTCTGCACAGATAGAAATCAGCCTGGAGCAAACTGTCATTTGCAACACATACTGATCTTGTATGAAGATGAAGTGTTAGGACTCCTCAATATTATACCATTATGACACTTTAGCACTAAAAGTCACAGCATGTCTGGGAATGCCAACTACAAGCAACACCCTCATAATTCTGCAGTTTTAACTAATAAAAGCAAAAATAAAAAAATTTAGCTCATATATATGTAAAGTTAACTCAATGGATGTAACATTTCCCACAATGAATCCAGAATCACACTGGATTGTGGCATAGGCGGTAGTATTAACCAATCTATAGAAAAAGGCATATCAGTTCCTAAGTGGGAACACAGTAGGGGGACAGGGGCTGTGAAAGTAATCAGAGAAGCAGGATAGATACAGTGTGTCTAGAATTTTCCAAGGAAAGGAGACACAGAATTTGGAGAATGCAAACAACTGGGGAGGTGGGGTGGTGGAGTCTCTTTTGTGGGGAATATTAGCCTAGGTAAACTACTCAAGACATCTACCTAATTTTATCCAAATAGTAAAATGTCTGATGACTAATTCCATTTCCCAGGTTCTTCCAGAGAGGCAGAAAAATGCCCAGGACAGAATTCTCAAGTATTCTAGTTACTAGAATCCACCTCCTACAAAATTACCAGGTTGGCCTTCTGATTCACCTATCAGTCTCCTAGGTCTGATCAACTCAGGGTTTCAGGGCCACCAAGGGTGAAGCATGGTTGACCTCACCAAGGAAATGTTACCTGTTGAGGCTGCCTCCTGGTCAGCTTGCAGATCTTTACTGGGATGCCCAACGTCACCTCATATTCCTTCCATTTCACCACCAAACCTACTGCCTAAACATGGCTTCAACAAAGACCTTTCAGAGATTCAAACATACCTGGTAAAGGCATTAAGAAAACTTATATGCTCTCCTTACATAAACTGAATACACTCTTTAATCAGTTCTTGAAGTGAAAAGGCTATAGCTCTCAAATCCTTTCCAAGAGGCACCTTCATCTACACTGCCTGGATTCCACAGGACCAAACCAGGGACATGCAACTGCATAGTTCAACTTATGTAGAGATGTTTCTTTTCTCTGTCTGTATTTTTACTCCTAATTTTAACTATTTATTTTTGACTTCATGAATGTGGAAGAAATGTAACTCCTCAAACAAAAATAGTAATACCATTCATTTGGAGCACCTAAGGATCGGTCTGCTAGTTTGACCACTAAAAATTGCTAAAAAGTTCCCTTCCCAGTAAATGCAGACTACTTTCCCATGCCTTTTTCAGCCTTATCAATACTTGGAGAGACTGACCAAAACACATTCTTTTTTTTTTTTTTTTTTAAACCCAGTTTTCCTCCAATAGACAGGAAGCATCGTAGCCACTTAGTCTTTCCAAGTTGGTGTCTAAAGGCCACTAAGAGAGACCAAGGCTCTATTTTTATTCTTGTTCCTCAGCCAAGACCCTATTTTTACCCTGATACCAAGAATACTCTCTCCAGGAATGCCTTGAAATAAGACTACAATGCTGGGACTTTGCTGGTGGTCCAGTGGTAAAGAATGCTCCTTACAATGCAGGGGACACGGGTTCGACCCCTAGTCAGGGAACTAAGGTCCCACATGCCGCGGGGCAACTAAGCCCATGAGCCACAACTACTGAGCTCACGCGCCTCAACTAGAGAGCCCACGTGCCGCAAACCACAGAGCCTGTGAGCTCTGGAGCCTGCTTGCCACAACTAGAAAGAAGCCCGTGTGCCGCAACAAAGAGCCCGCCTGCCGCAACTAAGACCTGATGCAGCCAAAAATTTAAAAATAAATAAATAAATAATAAATCTTAAAAAAAAAAAAGACTACATTGCTGAGGTTGGGATCGAAGATCCTGAGTATGATCATCACTCCTGGAGTCAGCTCTGGTTGAAAGATCTGACTGAGTCACTCCTGTCACCATGTAGGGCTTCTAGTCATCATTGTGTAAATCTCAGCTTTGACCAAATGCTCCTAGGGAATCATCATAACTAGACATCTTAAAAATATTCCAGATCCTTACTACTTCCTCTGCAAAGACACTACTAACTAGGGACCCGGAATGAATGTCCCAGAATAGCTATCCTGTTTTTCTCACACTTAAAATTCTGAGTAAATATGATAGAAAGGAGAAATTACTTACTCTATAAATGTAAGCCTCCAAGGTGACCCAGGTAACTCTGCACAATCTAGGCAGGAAAGCCCTAGTTCCCCCAAAACAAGGTTTGAAATCAATACCAATGGTGTTCCGTGACTTAAAGTAACATTGCAAACCTAAGTAGCAGACAAGCTGTCATGTGACTTATCTAGCAGAATAATAAAATGATCAGGTTATTATTTTTATTAAGCAGCTCTACCAATTACAGTCACGATACTAACAGCTAATACTTATTGAGCGCTCACCATGTGCTAGGCATTTTACAAGCACCATCGCATTTAATATCCCAGTGGCCTTACAAAGTACTACTATCTTTTATAGATGAGGAAACTAAGTAACTTAGTCAATGTCACCCAACGTTGTTAAAGTATTCATTTAAGCTCAGGGCTATATTACTTCCTAAATTTTGCATTCTGAAAAAAAAACAAAGAAAGAAGAAAAATATCAATCTTGGGAATTCCCTGGTGGTCCAGTGGTTATGACTCAATGCTTTCACTGCCGAGGGCCAGGGTTCAATCCCTGGTCGGGGAACTAAGATCCCACAAGCTGTGCGGTGCAGCAAAAAAAAAAAAAAAAAATCAATCTTTCATTAGTTGGATTTCATGAGTGAATCTCAATTTTACAATCTTCAAGCAAGTTACTTAAATTTTTATATTTTCCCTGTATTATTTCTTCCAACTTCATGTTATCATTCACAGTAATTAAACTGGACAAGAAAAAGTCTTATAAATATGCATCAGTGAAGTACTTACATAGTCAATGGGCTTGAGGGATTTGACTCTAGATGTTGGGCAGCCACAGGAAGTAAGGTCAGCATACAGCCCTTCTTCTAACACACACTGATGATTAGAAATGTCCTCTTGGTAATACAGGAGCCAGCTGAACAAACAAGCAGTGAAACATTCAGTCAAAGTGCATCAGTTGGCAGTTTGACTCATCATCATGCAGTGGGAGTCAGGGTAGGAGTAGGACATAAAACTCCTGGTGCTGGTCAGCAGCGAATACCCAGAGTCGGTTTGGGAAAAAAAAAAAAAAAAGCTACTACTATCACCTATTGACTGCTTACCGTGTGCCAGACTAGGTACCCTGCATGCATTATTTCACCATGTACTCATTACTTTATAAGGTAGAAACAAGTGAGGTAGAAAAGTTAGGTGATTTGCCCAAGATTCCCCCAACTATTAAATAAATTTGAAATAAAGCATCTGCTGTAAGCTAAAGACATTAACTTCATTCAGTGCTTTCAAGTATAAAAACCTGGGATCAAATTATAGTAATTATTAAGTACTTTAATAGATTAGAAATTCTTTTTGAGAAAAACAAAAATTTGTATCCTTAATGATGAGTTTGCTTTCAGTCTAGGTTGAGTTAGAAGCTAGACTCCAAAAATCACACAACAGTATTTAAAACCTGTCACTTGCATAGCTGATAGCAAGCGGAGATTTTTAAAAAGAAATGAACCCTTTAGAATCTTCCATAGCAAATTATCTTCAATATAGCACTCATCAAAAGCTTGGCTAAGACATGCCATTTTGGAAAGAAGGGGCACAAGGGAGAAATTAATTGACTGTTACTACTTTAGCTTTGGTGTGTTTAAGTTCTAGCTCTATATTTTAAGATCACCAGAACCGTGCTCTAGCTATACGAGGTTAACTTTAGATAACCACAGAAATGCTCTGTGACAAAATTTACTGCCATGTCTCCTACGTAATAAGCATATTATAGTCAATATTTCCGAAAGGTTTTTCAATGTGGTGGGCATGCAGCTAAGCCCTTATGTGCATTATTTATTTAGTCCTTATAAGAATTCTTTGAGGTAAGTACTGTTATTAGCCCACATTTACACAGGAGGAAACTGAGGTTCAGAGAGATGGTCCAATTTGCTTGAGATTACATAGTGGTGAACTGGGCTCAAATCCTCATCTCTGAAGCATCCCTGGTACTTAAACAATCACCATGGTTCCTGTATTCTTTTATTAAAACTACAGCTTAATAAATTACACATAAATCTAAATAAAATATGTAAATAAAATGTACATTTTGTATGTATTTGGCCCTCTGTATCTACAGGTTTCCTACCTGCAGATACAGAGGCCCGACTGTCGTCAGCCACTTTATATAAGGGACTTGAGCATCCACGGATTTTGGTATATGTGGGGACTCCTGGAAACAATCCCTCACAGATATCAAGGGACAACTGTGTATATAAATTATATATATATATATACACACACACACATTATACTGAAAAATATGTATAAATTATATATATATTTATTTATAAGTAAATAACATATACATTTCCTACATGAAGCAACACATATGACTAATTTGTCCTAGACTTCAGTGTCTAGGACAAAAACATCCCCCTTCAAAAAAAACTTCAGTGCTTCCTTTTATCAGAAAATTTAAACTATATCTTGCAAAATACTTTCTTTTTTCTTAGAGAAGAAAACTCAAATACTAGGAACAAGACTAATTCAGGCCCTTGATATACATATTTCTCACTAAGTTGCAGATAATCTATTTAACTAACCGTGTCCTACTTTATGTGTTTTCACATTGTAAAAGTTTCATATCCTTCTTGGAAAAGTATAAGAACAGTAACAGATACAGAGAGGTTCAAAGTAGTAAGAGTTATAGAAAATCAGAAAGGGAAAAGACTGTTTTATTTAGGGTTAATCAAGAAGGTTAACAGAGGGAATGAGGATGGACTGAATCTTAAAAACATATATGCAGGTTAGTATTAAGCAGGGTTCACGAACTTACGTACCTGCAGGAGGTCAGGCACGTAATATAAATGAGTAGTGTACCAGATGAAAAAAAAATGGGCAGGGCTTCTCTGGTGGCGCAGTGGTTGAGAGTCCGCCTGTCGATGTGGGGGACGCGGGTTTGTGCCCCGGTCCGGGAGGATCCCGCATGCCGCGGAGGGGCTGGGCCCGTGGGCCGTGGCCGTGGCCGCTGGGCCTGCGCGTTGGGAGCCTGCGCTCCGCAACGGGAGAGGCCACGACAGTGAGAGGCCCGAGTACCGCAAAAAAAAAAAAAAAAAAAAAAAAAAAATTGGCAATATATCCTATGGTACACTGGGGAGCACATATGCCTCTACCCGACACCAGCTAATTATCACCAAAGGTGAATGTTTCCCCAGAGTTTCCAAATCTTCTGATTTTTAAAGGGAAGGTGAAAAACAGGTTCTTCTGAAAAATATTCTAAACTTAAGTATTGATACAAAGAACTTCTTTTTTTTTTTTTTTTGCGGTACGCGAGCCTCTCACTGTTGTGGCCTCTCCCGTTGCGGAGCACAGGCTCCGGACGTGCAGGCTCAGCGGCCATGGCTCACGGGCCCCGCCGCTCCGCAGCACGTGGGATCTTCCCGGACCGGGTCACGAACCTGCGTCCCCTGCATCGGCAAGCAGACTCTCAACCACTGCGCCACCAGGGAAGCCCCCAAAAAACTTTTTAAACAGTGTGTAGGCCAACCAAATAACATCTGCTAGATTTACCTGAAACCTACCACGTTTGATACAGAGCCGGGGTTAGCAAACTACAGCATGTAGGCCAAATCCACCTCATAGCCAGTTTTCCAACAGCTCACAAGCTAAGACTGATTTTTGCATTTTTAAATGGTTTTAAAAAATTAAAAGAAGATTTTGTGATATGCAAATATTATATACAATTCAAATCTCAACATTCATGAACAGAGTTTCACTGGAACACAGCGATGCTCATTCGTTTATGTACTGCCTATGGCTGCTTTGGTGCTACAGTGGCAGTGCTGAGTAGCTGGGACAAAGCCTGTATGGCCCACAAAACTGAAAATATCTACTACCTGGCCCTTTGCAGAAAATGTCTGCTGACCCCTGGTACAGATGGTAAGGAGGAAAACACATAGCTGAGGAAATGCCCAAAGACAGGAGGAAAGGAGGATAGTACAAGGATAAAATGGAGTATGGATATAGAAAATGAGATTCATTGATGGTAAATCCTGGAAAAGGAAGAGTTTGAACTTGATCTGACTGGTATTAGAGAATGAGTGGGATTTAAAGAAGAGTAGTAAAATATTAAGCTGGACTTTGGGACAAATAACTGGGCTATGATTGGTTTGTGGTAAACACTGGAAATAAGATGACACTGGGGCACTTCCCTGGTGGCGCAGTGGTTAAGAATCTGCCTGCCAATTCAGGGGACAAGGGTTCGAGCCCTGGTCCAGGAAGATCCCACGTGCCGCGGAGCAACTAAGTCCGTGCGCCACAACTACTGAGCCTGTGCTCTAGAGCCCAAGAGCACAACTACTGAAGTCCGTGTGCCACAACTACTGAAGCCTGCGTGCCTAGAGCCTGTGCTCCACAACAGGAGAAGCCACTCCAATGAGAAGCCCGCGCACCACAACGAAGAGTAGCCCCCGCTTGCCACAACTAGAGAAAGCCCGCACATAGCAACGAAGACCCAATGCAGCCAAAAAATTAATTAATTAATTAAAAAACGAAAAGATGACACTGGAGTGTGGCTCATTAGGGGACTGAAATCCCTCAAGTGGAAGATAGGACCCCTCTACCAGTTCAAGAGAAACAGAGGAGAACGGATGAATCCAAGATATTTTGAAGGGAGAAGAGAGACTTTGATGAGTTATTAGGTAGATACTTGATATACAGAGATGCCACTGTAAAGATACACACACTTAAAAGTGGCTAAAATGATAAATTTCATGTTATACATATTGTACCACAATAAAAAATGATACATAGAATATATGTCCTAGAGGGGTGGAATAGGGAGGGTGGGAGGGAGGGAGACGCAAGAGGGAGGAGATACGGGAACATGTGTATATGTATAACTGATTCACTTTGTTATAAAGCGGAAACTAGCACACCATTGTAAAGCAATTATACTCCAATAAAGATGTTTAAAAAAATGAATATATGTTAGAATATAAGTTGAGAATCACATACAGTCTCATATACATGTGAGAAAGGTCCAGTACGTTGCCACAGTTGGAAGAATACAGAAAAAAAAAAAAAACGGCCCAACAATCCTGGGTCTGACATTTGGTGTGTGACCTTGGGAAACTAACTCTGAATCAGGGATCCTCATCTGTGAAATGGGGACAATGAATACTTTAAACAAACAAAAAGTTTTTTATTTTTTTTTAAAATTTAGGAGTAATATGTCTTATCTGGACAAAAATGCTAATTTTTATAGCATTCTATTATACTACACAGTAAACACACAATATAAACATTCAAAACATTTAGGAAATAATCTAAGATAACGATGAGAAAAAAAAAACCCACCAAAAATGCTCCCAATGTTGGCTAGTCAGCATTCTATTTCACAGTAGCTTGTAATACAAGCTGGGCAAAGATCATATAGGCAAATTAGCAGTTGACTAATGATTAAATATGTTTATTTCACTGTATACGCAAAAAATAAAGCTAAATCTCTGTAAATTTAAAAGAAATTTAGTTATGTAAACAACAGCAGAAATCATTTCATAAGCATACTTACCAACCCCGAAGAACTTTAAAAGAACATGGCGTGAATGGTGAAGTCAAATCCGAAATTTCTTTGGTAAAATCTATACATTCACCTTGGAACCCTGGTTTACTGAATGCTTTGAGCTATAAGAGCAACAACAATTAAACAGAAAACAGTTGCTTGACATCATCACAAAGCAAATGAAAACCTTTCATTTCATGTACTTATAAAAATTCAGCAAAATACTAGACTCGTGTTTTATTTATTAACAAGGAATCCATGTTAAGGATGACATTCTCCTTAAACTCAATTTTTTACACTTATGTATTTGCCAGCAGTGTCAAGATTTATTTATCATTCCATCCATCTCTTGCATCAGATGCTGGGCACAGAGGCCTGGAAAATAATTCTACCTATAAGAGTAAATCAGAGTCCCTCCTCTACTAAAATGTGGTCCTTGCCCATTGTATCAAGCAATTATTATCCCCTGTGGTGAGACTACATGTGTAAAATAAGAAGCAATTTAGTGCTAAACACGAAGGTGGTTTGGAGTGGTATGAGGTGTGGTGGCTATGCCTTTTCTCTCCCCAAGCCTTCTTGATCCACAGTTAATAAAAGGGAGACGGAGAAAGCACAAGCGCATGCCCATAAGAGAGCATGAGGGTGACTGTGAGACCATAGGAGCTGATGGCAGAGAAGACAATAATGATGGGATTAGTGGAAGATTTATGGTGAAGAAAGATGTCTGTGCCATATATTTCAGCTTACAGGTTCCAGTTTACTGAAGACTACCTTAAATGCACAGCTTACAGCTTTATATAACTACATTTCTGCTTTAGTCCTTTTTGTCAAGGAAAATTCATGAAGTCTCAACTATAATTCCCTTTAGACCAGAGATATAATAATCTGCAACACTAGTGGCCTTGGATCTCCAATAAGTAAGAAAAAATGAATGAGGCCTATAAATATTTCATAATACAGTGGAGCCCTGAAATAACATGGCCCACAGATCCACCCGGCACCAAGAGGCCTGCATCGTAGCTAAGAGTGCATCATGATCATCTACAGCACCGCCCTCTCTCCTGCCTCGGCTGTCGTGGAGAACAAGGCTTCTTTGAGCAGCTGATGTTCAGCTTCATTGTCCCAAGGGTCCTCTTAGAGACGGGTGGTCTCTGAGTTCTGAGGAATTGTTTCTTAGCTATCTCATTCTGCTCTGACCTTGCTAGGTCTGGTATCAAAGCGAAGCCAAAACCAGAAAGCCGAGAGAACCCATTACCCCCGACCAACCGGGGCTTGCACAATACGATTTCCTAATGTGAAACGAGGCTGTATTTGGAGCATTAAAACACCAAGGGACTCCCTGCCTTAAGGAAGCGTGATCCATCAAGTTCCTACACCATGGTCCTTTGGTGGATACAGGGGATAGAAAGAAAACGCAAGTCCAAAACAATACAAACCTCTGGAACGACTGATTCCCTGTATAAGAACAATTCTACATGTCCAGGCAAACTGCCCTGGATTCCTTGATAAGAGCATATATTTTAGTTAGTGGTTTTTCTGACTATGTTTTTTTTAACTTAAAGGTTTATAAAACATGAGGCTAAAAAGTAAATCACAGTTAAGTCCCAAAAATGTGGAGTAATTTCTCCTACAGGCAAATATTACCTTTATTCACAGTAAGAATCAGAAAAGGCACATGAGAACAGAGATCACGGTTGTCTGATTCACTACGTGTATTCCCAGATGTTGAATTAATTATATTCATATTGCTGAGCCTAAGATTTACACTTCAGTATTTCACCATGAAGTCGTGAAATGTCAAATCCTGGACAACTGACGATGCAAGCTAATCATACTGCAGTTGATGTATGTAACAGCCACCTCTACTTTTTAGTCTCAGTTGTCACACCCAGAAGCATTACAATTCACACACATACACACACTCACTCTGCCATGAAGTACTGTTTTGATTTGATGATTTAAAATACCCAAATTTTAAAAAAAGGACTTAATACTGACCTGAGTTTATTTTTACCCCCCAAATGAGATATGGTATTGATACACAGTTCACTCAGGATTTGTCCAACCCCAGAAAAGTAACCCTTCATTCTGAGTACCTTACAAATGCCTCAGAACAGAATAATTCTCATAATAATGTTCTGAGGATGGACCACCCGAAACCAACTCTGCACTTTCTAATTATAATAATTAATCTGTGGTTTCTACCCTTGGTGAAATTAAGTGGCAGTGCCTTGGTGAGAATAAGTCCTGCGAAAAGCTAGCTGGATGACTCACTACTTTGGTTTCCTTTCCAGATTAATGGAGAATAAATTAACAACTCGGATAGGTGGCTTAGAACACAGATGAATAGTCAGTTGAACAAGAAATGAGTTTATTTCGAACTATTCCCATTACTCCGTGCCATGTGAGCATGGCTTAATCCCTACCAGCACCAAATGGAACTGTATGGAAGAAGAAAAAAACAACAACAGTGTATCACTGGTTTCCAAGGTGCCTTTTCACATATCTATCTTTTATTTTCTTTAGAACTACCCTTTGAAGCAGATATTATCACCTCTTTATGATGAAAATTTTGTAGAGATCCTTTGTTTACTATGCACTTTTCATTTATGATATATAGAAATAGATGTAATAGTTCTTCAATATGACAAACTAAAACCTCAAGAACTTAATTACTGAACAACAGTTGTGCTTTCTCAATTTATTCCACAATATCAGAATAATTTTTGAACATAATTTTATTTATTCCAATGCTAAAATAATTTCTCTGAGAAACATTCTATCCTGTCTAAACAAGACTTTCTGCAGCCCTTTGGACTTCCTTCAAATAAATGTACTTATTGTTAAACAAAGAACAGTTTTGTTTCCACTCTTCCATTACATCACATTGTCTCATAATGCAGTGCTATGTAGTTTTCACATTCACTACATATTCAATAATAATCTTACTTCCCTGTTTACTCATAGAAGGCTTTCTTTACTTAGATAAGTACCACTTCCTGAGTATTTCTGGTCTCTGGATTCTATAAAAATGATCTGGTCGTAGTACCAAAAAAATGTTTTCCTCTACTGCTCTTGAGTCTTACTGATATTTGACTAAAACTATTGTTTACTTCTCCTCCATACATGATAACAGTAACCACCACTGTTAAAGATCCTGTGATCGCTCTAAAATTCAATTTGGCCAAATTATCCAATAGAAGAAAATATTCAGTTGCTTTTTCTCAGCTAGAATCATGTATAAAAGGGAACAGAGGGCTCAGTACTTAAAGAAATCCAAACTTCTAATTATATTTGCAAATGGACTTTTAAAAGATTCCAGGAAAGAAAGGTCCTTGGTTGGGTCAAAGTGGGGAACTGGTTAGAATTTCTAGAGAATGGATGCCTGACTACAGCCTCTCTGGAAACGAAACTCACTTCTGGAAGATTTAATCTAGTGAGATTTCGGATACTCAGGACTTGCTAAAAGAGAGAGATGAGGACATTCTGAACATAATCCACATTCTGTTTGTTTTTTGTTTTGTTTGGGAAAAAATAAAAACAAAAATAAAATGCCAGGTGCTATGAAGAACTCTATAATGGTCCTGTCATTGTATCAAATATTGTGAGTTGGCAATCAGACTTGGTGATCGATCTTCAGCCACGGGAAAAAATAATCTTCTCAGTAAAAGGTGGTGTTCTGTGTCCCAAAAAAGACATATATCATCATAATATGCTTACACATCAGCAATAATATTTTTATTAGCATAACTCTCGTGCTATATATTAATTTCTACACACATATATCTTCTGGCTTTTCCCTTAAGTGGCTTGAGGTTTCCTTTCAAATCACCAGCAGACAAGAATTCCCTCTCTGACTTGAACTTGAGATGTAACTTCCTCCTTATACCTTAGATAGGGAAATTAACTACCCCAAATGAACACAGCTTCTGCATTGTCAACCTATCACAACTACTTGCGAAGGAGAAAATACCTTCTAGTTACTGAATGGAACCAGACTATCAGCCAAGATCTGTTTGTTTTTATTTGGGTAAATGAAAACAAGCAAAACTTTCTGAATATTTGGTCCAGTGGAAATAATAAGGGCTTCGATACTGGGTAAACTAAGGAGGCTTTGTCTGCATGTTACCAAATATCCAGCTGTCATACACTAGTCAGAGACCTTTATTTCACAAGGCAATGGCTGAGCTATACTGAGAAAAATAAACAGGGCCAATTTCACTGGGTGCTTGCTGCTGCTTACTTTCTCTTCAAGTTGGGCTGTAAATCCTCTGAGCAATCTGCCCCAAACAAGGAAGTTCATAAGAAAGAACAGGGATGTAGGAGGGGGAGAAACAGAGCTTAAAAGAATGTGATTTTTTTATCTGCACTTAAAACTCAGAGAATGTGCAGTTTGGAATTATCCTGGTTTACCTCTTTATCTACTCAGGTTGTGCTGATGCATGTGAAAAAGTGCTTTGAAAGTCCACAGTCGGAGTTTTCTAAGATTCAAAGTAAAGATCTGGCAGGAAGTGTCTCCAGAACAGCAACTGAGTTATATTCAGAGAGGAAATGTTCCCAATAGGCCTGAGCTAATCGGAAAATAATAAAACCTGGAAGCACTGTGAACAGAATCACAGTTAAACTAAGCTGATTTGAAATATATAAACACTGACATGAACACGAAAAACATACACACTCAGAGAAACAGATTCAGCCTTATGTAAAACTAGCAAATGTCAAATATTTAAAATTAATCATGTATTTGGTTTTCTGAAGAAATTTTTCTAAATTGGTTATTTAAAATGAGACAGAGGAAGCACTGTAACTCATCCCCTTTCTTTTATGGTTGTACCGCTCATATCATGATATGTCTTTCTTTGACGTAAAATCTTGGAATTAGATACTGAAAAAAATGCCTCTTTTTGCTACTTCTAGCTGTGTGAAATGACGCTTACTTAAATTCTAAATCTTTGCTTTCTCATTAATAAATGGGAATAAATCCTGACCTCACAGAGTTATCAGAAGCATTAAATAAGCACAATTTCTAGCCCTCAATGGATAATAAGCAAACATTAGGCTCCAGAGTATTACCCAATCCTTCAAACCATTAACACACTAGAAATAAAGGAGCGGGGTTGCAGTTTTATCTGTGCTTTTAAGGCATATGTGATTTAGGTATTAGAATCGCATTTACATAATAAGCATGCCATTTCTCCCTGGTAAGTCTGTTCCTCCAGTCAGCGTAACGTACTGTGCTGAATACGAATGTGACACTGAAGAAGGGATGGGCAACAGGAAGGAAGGAGTGGCAGAGGTTCAAGACGAACCCAAAGTGGTCAGTGCTGAAGCTCTAGTAGGAGAAAAAGAAAGGAACCGTGACAAATCCAGGCCAATATGATCAGTAACAAAGATGGGCACTCTTGTGCTCACAGGTTCCTAGGACAACAGAAACTGCCCTGCCATACAGATCCATAAAAGTTATCTGAGGGAAAGGGCCAGACTTGAGAGAAAGGGCCAGACTTGAGAGAAAGGGCATACATTTTTAGTACACAATTTAACAATTATAAGTTAAGAATATTTTTAAACATACCAAATGTGGAGGCTCATTTATCCCAAGTGGTTCCTGAAACATATATTAAAACATTTTAAAAATTATAATTGTATAATCACAGTTGTCTTTGAAAGTGCTGAAAATCTCCTTTGAAAAATGAAAAAATATATGGTCTGACCAATTTACTAGATTCCTTGAACTGGTTAGGACCCTCAAATAACCTACTAAATTAGCTTATAATAATTTTAATGTTTATTACTAATTCATTTTGAGTAATATTATAGCTAGAAGAAAAATGTGCCCCAGTAGTCCATTAGAAAGATAGGGTCTGAACTTGCCAACATTCTCTTTCCCGTCACTATCTCCTGGGCACCCTATTGTTCTGCAGTGTTTGTTATCAACCACACTGGCCACACTCTTTCATAACTTTGTAATTTTGCACATGAGGAGATGATTCCCTCTTGGTGAACTGCCTTTTCTGCCCCACTTCCCTTCCTGGAAAAATTGCTTTTATCCTCTAAGACATGACTCAATGCATCCTCTTCTTGAGGAGAGGCATGGTCCCCAGCTCCCCAGGCTCTCCATTCTCCCTTCCCCTGGTCCCTCAGCACTGCCTACACACTTCATTTCCTCACTAGTCATACCATAAGCAATTGTGCATATGCCTGTCTTCTCTAAGAGACTGAGACAGGGCAGTCTTATTCATCTTTCATCTCCAGTGATCAGTCCTGTCTGACACAGCAAAGGCACTAAATAAATGCTACTGAATGAACTGATCAAATTACAAAGTACCTAATCATCGAGGTGCTAATGCCATCTACTAGCTCTCTATGGAATCTGCAGAAATCCATATGCTGTTTCATTTTCTCTATAGATACATACAAAATAATCCAACAGCTCCACTTTATAAAAGCCTGTTCCATGTGTTCAATTGTATGCCATTACATGTCACTGGCATTGGTTATGTTCACATTTAACTCACCAGTTGGATAGGTCGTATTGACATGATTATATTATTGGATCCTCCCCAGTCAAAAAAGCATTTGTATTTCCCTTTCTCTAAAATGTATTGTTCTCCACAGAAGAACTTCTGCTGGTAGGCAACCCATCTAGCAGGATAAAAAGTAAAAAGAACTGAGGTGACACAGAATCGAGCAACCAATAATTTTAAACACCAAAGAAGCTCTAGGTTCTCAGAATAGGAGACAACTTACACGCCACTTTTAACGTGAATGGATCTTGTTTCACTGCCAAAACCCATTTCTTCTAAGTCAGAAATTTCCTGATTTGTAATGTCAATAAACTTCCCACTTTCTAGATCAGATTCAAACAGTGTGATAGAAGATTCTATGAAATTCTAAAAGGAGGAAGAGGAAAGTTTAGGAGAACAATGGTATTTTGTTTTATGGCTTGCTGTATTTTAGCAAATTTTCACATACTTGTGGGATAATTTTCACACAAATAAATCCAGGAAGAATTTTAAATGGCACGGAAAACAATTTTAATAGTCACTACTCCTATATACTTTAAAGAAAAAAAATAAGTCTGAATTTACTTTAATCAGGAAAACACATTTTTATGAAATTGGAAATTAGTCAACAGTTAGTAAATTGCCAGGACTTACAGACTGTCACATATAACACTAATTGTAAAGGAAACTAAAGTCTCACTTGTGCCTAAAAAGCAAAAGCCATATGAACCCAGAAGTAAACACACAATGTACTATGGGCATTGTGGGAGAGGATTTTATGAGCTTAAATGTAACAGGAAAAATAAAATCCGCTTGACAAAAAAATTGTTCTTTAAAAATTAAAATCAGAGGACATCTCCGTATAGTCAGACGGCATATTTAAAACAAAAATAACAGAAAGATTCTAAGACCCAACTTGACAATCAGCAAAAGGCACACATAATTCACAAAAAAGATTAATGTTAAAAACAAACAAATGTATAATTTCACTCATAAAAATGAAGAAATTCAAATTAAAACAGATACAATTTCACTTTTTAAGTTAAGAAAGGTCTAAAAACCCAGTTTTACCAGGGAACGTTCCTGGTGGAAATATAAATTTTACAGCTACTTTAGAAAATAATTTAGGTATATATTTAAAAGACTGAAATGGTTTACATTCTTTGAGTCTGAAATTCCTTTTCTCTTGTTTCCTAAAACTAAATGATAGCCAATTTATATGCAAAGATGAATTACTTATCATAGCGAAAAGCTGTAAAAAGTGTAAATGCCCAAAAGATTTACAAACATAAACCTTTATGCATCCACTGCTTGATGGAATAAATACAATTAAGCAGAGTTTTTAACAAGCTAACAGTTAAAAATTATATCATACACTTACTAGCGGCCAGGAGCTTTACATGCCTTATTTCCAATGTGATTATATTACTATCACTCCCATTTTACAGCTAACAAAATTGAGTAACTTGTCTGATAGAACACAGCTACTGAGTGGCAGAGATTGAATTTGAGTCCAAATCTGTCTATTTGTCTACTCTAAACTCTTAATCACTGTCAGATATAAATGTAAGGATGAAACAGTAGGACAAAAACTAAAACTTAAAAACTTGGTAAGATTACAAGTTCTCAAAAACACCCCAACTTTCATCAAAAAAAGACTAGAAGAAAAAAAAGAAAATACCAAGACTGGTTATCTTTGGGTCCAGATGTTGAACAATTTTACCCTATATTTTTTTCAAAACTTTATAATAGGTATATTTTTAAATGGAAAATACAGAATGCATTAAAAAAACAAAACAAGAGGGACTTCCTTGGTGGTCCAGTGGCTAAAACTGCACTCCCAATGCAGGGGGCCGCGGTTCAATCCCTGGTCAGGGAACTAGATCCTGCATGCCCCAACTAAAAGATTCCCACATGCCGCAGCTAAAGATCCCGCGTGCTGTACCTACAGACCTGACACAGCCAAGTAAATAAATAAATATTTTTTTAAAAAAAACAAAAAACAAAGACTCTTCCTTTCTGCCTACTATATTTCATTGTTTGTAACTCAAGTCTTAGACCTATGGAAAAAAGTTAGCAGCTTCTATACATCTCAAACACTATCAAATTTCTCATTATGATTATTATTATAAATATTATCTAAGATTTCTAGTATAACCATTCATTTTACATGAACAAGCAAAACAGTGTCCAAACAAAACAAAGCATCTATGAGGAGAGAAAGAAAATACATTTAAAAAAAAATTCTCTTGCACTTACAACTCGTCATGTTTGAAGGATTTAAAAACTGCTAACACAGCTGGGTCAAATTTCATTTGAAATTTTAAAAGATAAAGGCTTTTTACCAGAAATTTTTATTATAAAATAATTTCTAACCCATATTCGTGTTCTCAATTCCTCCTTGAGAGTAAACATGTGCAACCTGAGAACACCTGTCACCTTCATTACTTTCTCATGGTTCTTAAGAAAACGGGAGCAGGGTGGATTTACTCTTCATGACTCCCACCATCCCTCATTTTATTAACAGAACACTTTTCAAAACACTTGCACTTGTTATCTCTTTTGAGCTCCCTTAAACCCTTATTTTACATATATACGTGTATATATACACATATGTATACATATACGTGCACATGCACACACAGATGTCTATATCTATCTTGTTACAGATATAGATCTGCCATTTTCCAGATACAAATCTAGAATATACATATATTAAATCAAGGCTTCAACATCCTAGAAGAGATTTTCCTTAAGGTGTCCAGGACAAGCCTCCCCAATGACATTTTACAGCCTGGGCGCCACATCAACAAACCTGGTTATATTGACAACATAAACTTCCATCATCCAAGGAACACGAACATGCCTCCGTTTCTTGCAACCTGAAAGTGTGTAAATAGCTCCAGGCGGCTGTGAGAATACAATGCGGTAATGACAACTGAAGGCGCCCATCTGAGTCCTGGTCAGGAACTGGTATCAACAGCCGCCGACCAAGTCAGGCCCCATGACAATGGGCAGGTCTTCAGCAGCTCTCACACGTGGACTCCTCCTCCCTTACTCTGGTGATTCTGGAACGCTCCATCTCTGCTTTTATCTCCTCTGCCCCTACAACTGTTCTCTACTCCCTGTTAGGGTTGTAGGAATTGAGTGGGGATAAGCTGACATAAACCATGGGTCACTGCGTCACGCTGGAGTGAAACGGGACAAAGACAAGCACAGATATGTGCACGTGTGCTGGGACTGTGCCTTTTCATTGAGAAATCACTTGTGTTACGGTGTCATGGACTCTACTTGAGCACTGATTTGCACAAAGCCTACTGTGTGGGTCGTGGGAGAGTGGCGGCAGTGAGGAGGGTGAGCTGGGAAGCAGGCTGAAGGCGCAGGCCGTTTGGCAATGATGCAGCCGGGAGCTGAGCAGAGGAGGAGGGACCCACTGCCACAGGACGCAGTGCCGAGTACAGGTGCTGGCAGCACATGGGTTCACAAATAAATTTACTCATGTGACTTGAGTTTGTGTCCTTCCTACTCTGGCTACCATTCCCAGAGACATGGCCAAAGGCCACAGGAGACTCCTAAGTGACATCGTTCTCTTTTTTAATCTGCTTTTGTTTATTCATGCCTTGTAGCTTCTGCCGTCCATCTTTTTCTAAGCATGTTTCTGAGCCAGGCTTCGGTCTTTGACCCCCTCTGCATTTTTCACTCAAACCTACCAAATATACAGTATATGATCCAGTTGACTAGTTGCCATCAATATGGTGTCCCTGCTGGTCAGAGCTCTTAACTCCAAGCCAAATCCAGTCATCTGGGGCTAAATCTCAAGGGTCACATGTATAAAGTATGGGATAAAATATGCCAGAAAACACAAAAACAAAAAACCAAAACTTCTAACTGCCTTGCTCAGGAGGTGACTGCCACAGGGCACAAGTCCTGTGAGGTTACTAGGTTATTCTAGGTTATTATCATTCTGACTATAAGCACAATTACATAATACTTAAATTTATCAAATAACTTTGAAAGTCACACAGATTTAAGTGGAGCTCTGTTGCTCCAGGAGGATGAATAATGATGTAACAACCTCAAATCTGTACTCCATTTTGTATTTTTAAAGAACTTAAATCCAATGAAAAATCTGGGTAGTCTAATATGGTTTCAGGTACAGTACTCCCCACTGTTAGAGCAAGCTAATGAGCCATTGCTTCAGGACCAAAAATAAGTCTTAAGGATCAGTAATTTGATTATTCTTAAATTCCATAAAATCCCTCAGTTCATTGGGCCCTGGAACTCTTACGCTACAACCCCCCGGGGTGGGCAGCGTAATACGAGACACCAGCTGAGATCTGGTGTATCCATTAATTTAGGAGACATAACAGTGTCTGCTGCACACCACCTGGTTTCAGAGATCTGAAAAGAGGCCCCAAGTCTGAAAATCATAACAAAAGCAAATCCAGAAGTTAGGCTAGTATGAAACTGAGGGAAAACAAGCATCCCAAGAAAGTTTTATAGAGGAAGCCAAGGAATAAAAATTCCTTCTTTAATCCCTGGAGTCTAAATACTGCCATATTCCTTCTGGTCCTTTTCGCTTTAGAAAGTAATCAACTCCAAGTCAACATATCTGCCTGACTCATTTGGAATTAGAAACACATTTCTGGTTGTCCTCTCCAAAGCAATCCATGACACAGATCACGTTATCCCTAAGGAACATATCCAGGATCTGACCTTCGCAGATCCAGAGTGTTCCACGCACTACAGCCAGGATGTAAGAAGATTGCATTGTGTTATGCAACTTTTCTGTCCTCTATTTTCTATTATTTCAGCTTAGATCTTAAATTCAGTGCTTCACTCTTCCCAGGTTAGAGGCCTCTGAGAGTCTACATGGGGAAAAGATGTCTCACATCAACTCTGCCTGCTAATCACATAGGTTGACACAGGTGACAACCCCAAGAGCTTTAAATCCTATTTCTAACAATACTGTATCATATATTTAAAATTTTCAGAGGGTAGATCTTATGTTGTGTCTTACAGCACAAAAACATTAATAATAATTATAAACAGGGCACGAGGAAACTCTGAGAGGAGATGGATATGTCTATGGCCTTGATGGTGGTGATGGTTTCATGGGTGTATACTTATTCCCAAACTCCTCAGTTGTATACAAAAAATATGTACAGATTTTTACATGTCACTCATACCTCAATAAAGTGGTTTTTAAAAAAGAACTCCTCCCCAATTATATGCTATACCTGGAGAGTATAAAATATTTCATCTGAAAACATTTTCGTGAACATACATTTAAATTATAAATAATCTGAAAATTATGTAAATATTTATTATACATGTGTATTAGTCTGCAGAGTAACTATATATTTATAGCTACAAATGAAGTGCTAATAATCCTTTGGCTGAATGAAATTCCAGCTTTCCACTCTTGAAGTGCTTAAATTTTTTACTCTAATCATTCTGTAACAAAGGAAAATGGGTAATATGACATGGGCTCTAGAGTAAGACAGACTGTCCCTCAAATCACAGCTCTACACTCGGGCACAGTACTGAACACCTTAGATCCTCAGCTTCTGTATCTATAATATGGGAATCGTGAGTCTCTATCTCTTCATTTTTGTGAAGATTAAGTGCAAGCATGCATGTAAAGCCATTAATAAGTACCTGAAAATGTTAGGATTATTATAATGAGGATTATGCTAACATCTTTACAAGGTAAACTAGTCCTAATTTTTTTTTTTTTTTTTTTTTTTTGGCTGTGTTGGGTCTTCGTTGCTGTGCGTGGGCTTTCTCTAGTTGCCGCGAGCGGGGGCTACTCTTCGTTGCGGTGCATGGGCTTCTCACTGCAGTGGCTTCTCTTGTTGAGGAGCACGGGCTCTAGGGGCGCGGGCTTCAATAGTTGTGGCGCATGGGCTTAGTTGCTCCGCGGTCTGTGGGATCTTCCCCGACCAGGGCTTGAACCCATGTCCCCTGCATTGGCAGGCGGATTCTTAACCACTGCGCCACCAGGGAAGCTCCATAGTCCTAATTTTTTTAAAATCTAATTTAAAAAGATTTTCTTTGAAGGAAAGTCTTACTTATTTGTACGAAAACTGTGTCATCATTTTTGTAAATACCCAAAACTTTTGTTTGCAGAGGTAATTGACATGCCAATCTCTGCTCATTTTTCCAATATATTTTATCATAGACTGTCTATATCAAATATCTCCTAAAATTTTAGCTACATAGTTATACAGTTATTTTTAATTTTTACATTTTCTACTATTGGGAGAGTTCAACTAGTGAAATCTTGGGGTTTTGGTTTGTGTTTTGCTTGTTTTAGTCATAGTCATCTTTGGAAGATACCATCATATTCACTGCTGAACATTTCTAGGAGCAACACTTCCACCCAACTCTTTTTTTTAAATCAGGAGGGAAAATTTTAAAAATTACTCAATACTAGGTGGAAGATGCTTTCAATCACAACCCTTAGCTTCCTCGACGCGTGTGGTCACAATGACCTAAAAGAAAAAAAAGGCTGTATCGTGTTTTGTCTGGCTTGCCTTTTAGTGCTCAAGTAAGGAGTAGCTATGTAGAGAAAACCCGTGGCCCTCGTACATTAGAATTGTGAACTAAATACCTCAAAAGCTATCTATCCATGGCTCATGCAAACTCAGTGCCCAGTCTTCAGTGGACGGTGCTACGTTTCTTTTTGGTAGAACCGGTTTCCAACTCGCTTTCTTACCAACAATGATCACTCATGGGGAAAAAAAAAAGCTCTCCTGTTCCCTGTGCTTCTTCTCTCCCATTCAGGCTCCTCATGCCTGAACAGGTGAGGGTTTGCACCAGTGGTGTTGGTGGCCCCCGGCAGACAGAAACTTAAGGAACAGAGCACATAACCCCTGTGCTCATGCAAAGCCCACGTGGACCCAATAATCACCCTTCACTTCATTATCAATTCCTTCTAAAGGAGGCTTTGGAGGCTATGCCAGATAGTTTAGAGTTTATATGGGTAAAGACTATTTTGGAAATACACTGCGGTGGTATAACTCCTGAATTATGAGAAAACATGCTCCTCTGAACACACCAACAAAGTCTCCAGAGCTGGTCAGAAAAATGAGCAACATTTGAGAAGCCCTGATATCCTGCAGAACTCTCTAACATCAGCTTCCGCCTGGAGTCCTGGAACATTCTAGACCTCCTGCCTCCAGGCTCACTTACCTTCTTCACCTCATGCCAAGAAGGTCAGGAAAAAAAGTGTGAGCTCCTCAACATGGCATATAAGGCCCTTCGTTATCTGGCTCTGTATTCATCTTCCCAAAGTTCTGCCTAATAGCCCGACTTTGCTGCATTTCCAAAACACACCAGGTTCACTGACATGAGGGTTTCTCAACCGCAGCACTATTAACATTTTAGGCTGATGATTCTTCGTGGTGGGGGGCTGTTCAGTGAATCGCAGGGGTTTAGCAGCCTCCCTGGCCTCTACCCGCTGGATGTCAGTAGCATGCCATACCACCCCCCGCCCCAAAGTCATAACAGTCCAAAATGTCTCCAGACACTGCCAAATGCCCCCTAGGTAAGATCACCCCCAGCTGAGAACCACTGGCTTACATCCTTGCCTTTTTATATGCTAACCTCTTGCTGAAACACCTGTCTTTCCTCTTCACCCTGTCCCCAAATTTCTTCACTTGGCTAACTCTCCAACTTGAAATTTCAACTCAGCTGCCCTCTTTTCCTCTCTACTTCCAAGGGGAAGTCCTTGACCTTTCTCTGGGTATCCTGAGTACTTTGTGCTTAATCCAGTCATAGTCAAACAATATCAAACATTTATATAGGTGCTATCTACCCTATCACTGCCTGCTCTGCGAAGGCAGGGACTGAGTCTCTGGCCACCATATCTCCAGCACCTGACACAATACATCTAACAAAGCAGGTGGTCAAAAATGATTATGGAATCAATGGATGAAAACTAAACATAAATATTCTATATTAATCATGGCAGTTAAGAAAGGCAAGCAAGTCACAAAAGCCGTTCAGTTTAATGCTCTCAGGTATTAGAAACATTTTATAACCTTATGTTCTACCAGAGGTCATATCCAGTTTTCATGGAAAGCTAAAAAAAAAAATAGAAAATTAAGAACAAGGAGGCTAACTCACAGCTTGTAAGTACCGGAAAGACAAGATGGAACCACTTAACGCCCCACAGGCACTACTGTCTTCAAAATCTCCTTCTTCAAGCAAGAATTGCTGGCCTTTAAAATGTTCTTTTTCATAGGCAACCCACCTAGAAATACAGAGGACATCCAACTGAGTCATTAATAAAACCGCAGGCAAGAAAGCAAGAGAGAAAATCATCATAAAGCACCGAGTTGCACATCACCATATTTTAAAAAGCAACACATTTATTTTGCTACCATTTACAGAGACAAACAAATGGTGTATGCCTCATGGATCAATAGTTTTTATAGTTTGGAGGCTTTTCCCAACAAAAGGTTAACTGCAACAGAGGAACTCTCATTAAATGTTTGTGGCATGACCCGATACTACATCTCAACGTGGTCCGAGAATAGTTTGCCGAGTAAAAAATAATGGAAAGCACAAATAGCCAATGAGAAATAGTGCAAGCCCACACTGAGATTCAAAGATAATCAGTCTTATTTTTCTGATTAAGCCCTGCTGGAAGCCCAGAATGATTACTATATTAAATATTTATTTAGGGTTTAAATCAAAGGAACCCGTCACCAGCTTCAGATCTGAAACACATTACAGGTGGGTTTAGCAAGCAAGAACTGGGAAATGCGACTGGGCTGGTATTAGCCCTTGTGGCCTAAATATATACAAAGACTCCTGTAAATATGTATGGGTAGGAAATGTTGCTCCCGCTAGTTTATCAGTGGTGATAATGGAAACTGGAAGCACTGTGGCAGTCTTTCCAGGGACACAGGTTTCTTGACTTCTAAAATTATCAGTACAGAACACTGATAAACACCGTTAGTCATTAGTCCTCCAGGAAACTTACCTTTATTTGGAGCAATCCACAGTAGCTAACGCAACGTGGGCATAGATGGTTCAAAACACACGTTGACCTGATTAAATCTGCCTTCAGCTGGCACTGTGTAACTAGAGTGGGACCCCCTCCAATGGGGCAGATTTCAAGGGTGACTGTTTTGGGCTCCTGGGTTGGGGACCTCTGAATTCTGGAGCTTGACAAAATGAAGCCAGGTAGGGCTGACTACAATTATTTTGGGAAGATACAAAAAATATTCCAAAGAACCGTTTTCATAGGGTACAAAAATAACAGTAGCCACTCAGTAATCATGAACCTGTCTCCAATTTCCTTAGTGCATATGGCAGGGTAAGGGTCCACGTGAGTTGGAAAAAACATTTTATACATCTTCATTAATTTGTAATATATAAAGAAACTAACACTATTTTATTCTTAAACTATTATGTGAAAATAAATTTCACACGAAAACTTTCAAATTCTAAGTTTATATAAATGTGGCTATTCGAAACATGCTTTTAATACACCTGAATGGGAAAAATAATATAAGATATAGAAGATCTAATATTAAAGGACAGATCAGCAATTATTACATAATGACAGTTCAAAAATCTTCTGCCCAGCTTTTCTCAATAGATAAAGTTTTGATTAGTATTCAATTTATATATCTGGGATATTTAAAAATAGATGTTATCTGAGAAAAATTAAGACACATCAACCTCACTTTCCCTAGACCCCTCGAGACAAGACAGAGGTGAGGAAGAGTTCCTATTACTTACAGATAAAGTTCAAAAGTTAAAAGTGAAAATAATGAAATAGGGAAGCAGTAAAACAAAACAAAAAAATAGTAGAAATTGTGAAAAAATAACGAAGTCAGCTGTTCATCTTTAAATTAGGACATCACATTTTTCTCCTGCAGGTGTCATATAAAAAATGAAAGTGTGTATACTGTTTTACCAGCCATAATATTTTGAGATTTTTATAAAATAACTGCAAATACACTTAGAAAATAACAATGCAAATCACTATATAGTTAATGATAAAACCATTCAGATCCTAAAGGAAAGAAAAGGCAAAAAATATTTTATATCAGGATTAACAAGAAGCATGTGTGTCCACAGATCAGAGAACACTGTAACTAAATACAACACAATAAAAATTTGTTTATCTAAAAGAGCTGTGTTTTTCAAGCCTCTAATAAAATTTTTAAATTCAAAGATAAGGAATTAGCTGATTACTAATATGTCAGACTCAGACAGGCTGGAACCTGGGGCCCTTTGCTGCAGTGCTGCAATGCTTGCACCTGAACAAACCTCTCCTGGAGCAACAAAATACAAAGAAACTATATGGGACTAAAAATAACTGAGTACATGTGCAGTTGGGGCAAATTCTGAACAAAAGATACAAAGAGACCAAAAAACACAACTGCCACTTTTGAAGTGCCTGGAGCAAAGGCAGGGGGCTGGGGAGAAAAGGCAGGGCACTGCCCATGCCCCCTGCACACAACACCACCTAAGGGGTGGGCAAACTACCTAAGCTACCCCTCGGGCTCAGCTCCTGGACACACCCTTACCCTCACCCCATATAAGGAACAAGCTCACCACCCGCTCAGGGAGTGAGTAAGAAAGGGAATTTGTTGTTTGTTCTCTCTCCCCACCCTGCTACAGCAGGGGCCCCAATGAAGCCTTGCCTGAATTTCTTGTCAGCCTCCTATTGATTAAAGAGGCCAAGAACCCTGGTAAGTAACAAGACTAATTATGGACATGACCTACATATCTAATGTATCGCATACTCTCTTATATTTCCATTTTGGCTAGTGTGGCCATTGCTTGATTTATTGTCAGAAATTGCAAAGGTTAAGTCTCTAAATGTAGACCCTTGACTGATCTTAAACAAGTTATTTAACTTCTATGAATAAAATATTTGAGCAGCATCTTTTGCTAGAATAGCATGAACAAGTTATATGATGTTATTACTGCAAATAATAAGAGATATGGATGTTTAAATTAAAATAAACCATCATGCCAAACAGTCCAACCTATCAACAGAGAGACTAACACAATGTGTCTGAAGGAATTCTAGCACTGAGTTGACAATGGCAAATAAGCTATGAGGAAGGCTTCTTCTCTATGGTTTTACCTGCCAGGATACGAAGGCACATTACAGGTGCAGTCATAGATTTTCTGGGGTCCTTGCCCCAGTAACTGCCGATTGAGACTGGGATAGCAGCATGATGGTTACACTTGGGTTTGTACTTAGAAGTTCTTAGGGAGCTTTCTTAAAACAATGCAGGGCCAGAGGATAACTAGTGTCAAGAATCCTCGACTTTGTAAACACACAATCCAGGCTACTTCTTTAATGAGGGAGGACTCACTGCCAAGATCCTCAGCACAGAAAGTCAACTAAGGTAGAATAGGGGGTAAAAATTGGGGCTCTCATTCATGTGCACGATCTGTCAAAAAATAATTTTATCTTGCAATTCTTATCTTCTATATTGTGTTTAGAAATACTAAGTGTTTAAGTTTTAGAAACTGTTTTCTTCATTTAATCTATCTCAAAATCTCTAATACTAACAAGAGTTCACAGGAAGCTGTCAATAACTAATATTTTTTATTTCCCACATTTCAGAAGGGATGTAGTTTTAGACTAAGGTAGGTTGGTTTTGCTCTGCTTAGCACGTTTTGTGCCGATCTTCAAAAATCGACAACTGAATCACATATTGAAAATATAACACTCACACTCCACCGATGACACGAATTGATCCAATTCCATGAAAGTCTACATCATTTTTTAAAAAATTAGGGACAGAGTCTACATGTTCACTAAACTCTTTGGCCTGTCCATGGAAGTGAGGTTTTTCATAAATAATAACCTGAAAAATATGAAAGAAAATTACTTAGCAGGCTCATATTTTAGAATAGATACATACTGATTTACTTAAGTGACACTAAAGGCCACAACCTGAATTAAGGGCCACTGTCCATTTTCTTCATTAATACATACTCAAAATATAGCACACTGTCTGACATTCACAAGGAATATGTGAGTCTTTATCATCATAAAGCTAAAACATCTTGATAATATGTTTCTCTCGTATCACTATACCCAAGTATGATTACATTGTTCTAGTTACCCAAATCCTAGGACCATCTCATGGAGTAAACTGTCTTATAACTGGTTCTTGAATTATCTTTCTACGTTTTTCTCTCTGTTCAAAATTTGATACAGACCTACCTTACAGTTATTTAATTTCCTCTATAAGAAATAAAAACTCTCTAGGGGTTCCAGGGCATACTGACAAATTATCTACTGGTTTGAGAAAACATGCTGTTTCTTGTAGCACTGCTTGTATGGTCACTACTAATCACTGAGAAGAATTAGATATGCAAATTCCTGAATTTAAATACAAAACTTCCTAAAAGTTTGAAATGATTGAAAGAATTTTGGTATTTTTATTGGATATTTGGTTCAAATGGGGGAGGAGGGAATACAGTAGGAAACAGATTTCTAGTATTTCATTTACTTCAAACTTGGATTGGTACAAGTTCTTCTCTTCTACCATTCTGATGCTCTTTACTTCCCAAACACAAGCTGCCCTTAGTACAGGAAAGCGATAAGAGTGATAACAGCGCTCATCTATTCACACTCTTATCACTTGGTCCTATTTATGGCTAATGGCATAATTTGTGTACAACTGGCAAATAAGACCCATGCTTAGACACACTGAACCAGCAAGTTATAGCTTCTTTATTAAAAAAACAAAAAACAAACTGAGAACATTATACAGACTGAAAAAAATATGTAGTACTGTTCCTGCTGTTTTCTACGTATTAAATTTTCAGTGTTTATTGGAAGTGATGAAGTATTATTTGGGTTTAATACATGCTACATATGCTGAACACATTCAAACTAAGTAAGAAGCAATAATTTTTTGATGAGTAAGTCATAAGCCAACACCTAACAACGTGAAAATTGTGACTATCTAGGATAGCCATTCCTTTCACTCACCTCTACAACTTGTCAGACTCCCAGCCTGTCGCACCTGAAATTCTCATTCAGCAGACAAGGAGATTGAGACATCACTCAGGGAGTGTCACAACTAACTGTGTCACAACTAATTCTGAATCTATTAGGTCACTGGTTCGAAACCTTGGTTGTATGTTAGAATCACCTAAGAAGCTTTGAAAAATTTTAACCACACCCCAGACCAAAAAAAGTATCTCTTCCAGTGGAACCCAGGCATAAGTATGTTTTTAAAACTCACATATGTATGATTCCAACATACAGCCAAGGTGTATTAGAGACAGTCAGATACTAAGTTTTAAAAAACTCCATCTATGTGATTGAGAGAACGGTAGTCAATTCCACAAATTAGGAAGCCCAGAAATGGGAAAGCTGGAGGAGTTGTGCCTTGTTTTGGAGGAGAGGAGGATGAATCCCTGTCTCCCTGCCTGTCTCTGGAAATGCTGTAACTTAATTAAACAGAGGTTTTCTTCCTATCTCTCTTTACCATAATTTTATAATTCCATTTCTTTTCCTTTCCCAAAACGTACTTAATCCTGGCATTACTACTACCCCAGGTTTCATTGCCTCTACCGTCCCCTTCAGATACTCATACTTTCAAACTGACATCACCTAATAGGAGCTGCCTACACCTCCTTCCATCATCCTTGATCTCCATCCTCAGCATCACGCCCAAATGCCTGCCAGGTATTTCCACTTGAATGTCTAGCTGTCACCTCAACCACTCCACAAAACAAGTATCAAACCTATCATCTTTCCACCCTGTTAGGAGGTTCTTATTGGGTCTGACTAGGTTGTCAGAACAGACCTCTACCTTTGCATACTGAGCCCTCTCCTCATTCAAGCCTGGGCTCTCAGCAACCACTGTGTGCAGTCACTTCCCACCACCCCAATATGCATTAGCTAGCTATTATTAGCATACGTTCAGGTAATCATTTTTTTTTATTTTAATAGTCCAAAATACTTAAAGATTAATACTTAAACTTTTTAGCCTGCTACCAAAGTGTGTTTAAGACTCACCTTTAAGTTCATAGGCATTTCCACTTTCAGTCCACCCTTAAGATGACAAGAAATTTTAATGTTAGACATATACATATTTAAAGTACTCAAAAGTAACTAAGTGATGTATGTAGGTTATATAAAAATCTGATTAGTGAAGATTACATACTAGTCAAATTTAAGTTGTGTATTTTAAAATTCAGAAATTTAAGTAGAGAACTCTACAGTGGTCAAAATCAAGTCAGACTACTCTACGTCAGTGTAGATGGGGTAAGAAATCTTAAAAGATACTTTCTAGAGTATAACCACTACAAGGAAGGAAACCAAACTTTAGTGCTTAAGTACACGTGACCAATTAAAGATTTAACCCCACAGCAGAGTGTCTCAAAACGGTGGAGCTGTTAGTAGATTTAAAACTTTCATCTGGCAGAGTACATGTCTAAACCACATAATACTAAATTTCTTCTCTACAATTGCTTGGGCTTTCTACATTAGAGAGAGCACTTCCTCTTCCAAGTTCTATCAACACTTCGTATCACACTTACTATCTTTGTGACCACATGGGTGTAGAGCATAAAAGGTAACCCACTCCTCACAAAAGCTCTAGTTTATCATTTCCTTGTTTCCAATGGTACGCCACACTGTGATAGTCCTTAAAATTTCTCAGTTTTTCCTGTTGTTTTTTTTAAAGGCACAGCACAACCATAATGGTTTATCACATAGTACCATTTAATTGAAGTTTGCCCCTCAAGTAAAAATGTTTGCAACAAAATAAATCATTAATGCAGGCATTTATTACTTTTAAGAAGGCAACCATTGACAGAACTGCCCATTTATTATTAATGCTGAACTTATCATTCATTACTGCAATGGAAGAGTATAATTTCCAACAAGCAATTTTCTAATAAGCATCAAAAAAACAAATTCAGAACTTTGCAAAATTTTCACAGAATACTACCATAAATAAACTGCTTGTATTGTGATAAATTTAGCACAAAGTAAATTCAGACATCTGTCTTCTAGAAAACATTAAAATATTTTCACACACACTGAAAGAAATAGAAAAACAATGTATGAATAGTTTGCCCATTCAGTAGTATACATATACATTTCTCAAGACCGAGATGCATGACCAATCATCAGAGCTATCTTAATTTTGAATTCATGGATACTTGGGAAAATGCTTCTTTCTAAATATGCTTACCATTTGAAGTGGATGCAATGATTTCATTTCTGCTGCAGAAATCTCAGAGAGTCCATGGTCTTCCTCCAAAACTGTGGCTTGCCCCTTGAAATTAATATCCGGGTAGGCAAGCCAACTAAGTAAGAAATGAATGGTTGGTTAAAGTATAATAGGAATACCTTAATCTGGTTCTGTAAGAGTTGAAAGTTAAAAAAAAAAAAAAAAAGCTACAAAAAGTAAAAGAAACCTCTGTCACAGAATTACACTAGCAAAACACACTCAAAGTGACATTGCCAGACAGCGTATAACAATGAGTTAACAAGTTGTTAAGTACTTACGTTCAGATACTATCCTAAGTTTATTATATGTTTTCCAAGCACTGGCATTGCTTTCTTTAGAATTTTCCAATATTTAAAAAGTGTGAAACAATTACAATTAGGATGTAACTGAAAAATAAAAACCATTCCACTATATTCCATTCTTTTTTAAACTAGGACAATAAGAGGTAGGGATTCCACTAAGCATTTTATACCTTTGATCCACAGTTTTAGAATCAATATCAGTTCTTGGGCTGCCTCAGGAACAGCATTTGAAATAAGATTCCTAAAAAACCCATTTAGCAACCAGCTAAACTTGATAATTACAGACATTTCTCAGGATCATGTCAATTACTGGGTCTGCCCAACAGTTCTAATCTACACTTGGGGGAGATGAAGAAAGATGTCCAACAGTGACCCCCAAATTCGACACTAAGCATCTCCAGAGCAGATGAAAATGCTGAAAGAGAGAAGGATCCATGTTGAACCAGACATCACAAAACTTACGATTTAAGCCAATCTGGGACTGAATTAAGATTGAATTTAGATCCACAGTCCTGAAGATACCTTTGGAATCAGAAAGGCCTAGTATCAAATCTAATGCTTACCAACTGGTAGCCTGGGACAAGCCACTTAATTTCCTCATTTATGACATGAGAGCAGCTCTACCTGGCTTCCAGGAATAGAGGAGTAATAAAAAGGTGCCATGTCCCTGGTCCTACGAGGCCCTCAATAACTACCAGCACTGAGACACTCTACAAATAGCTCAGGCTCCAGAATTTTAGGCCAGGGACATGTATTTATTTCTCAGTCCCACAGTCTGGTGGATGAAAAGACAATGGATGCATCTATCAAGAACTACGTCTGAGAATCTGTATCTGCTCCTGTGAGTCATATACCAAAGACTTAATTGGATCTGAAAAAGACAGAATCTGTTTTAATCCCTGCAACAGTCTTCCTTGGGTATCCAGAAGTATAAACAGTAAAATTAACTAAAACTTCAGAAATGTGTATGTCACCAATTGAAACATTAAACAAAAAGTTAACTTTGGTAACCAGCAATCACTGTAATAAAGAGAAACAGATACGTACACTCCTGACTTCACAGTAAAAGACACAGATTTGGGGATATTCAGCTCTTCCAAATTGGGGACTGCTTGCTGTAGGTAGATAGGACAACATGCTGGGTCAGACTGTGGGCAAAGTTCTATCTCTGGAATGCTGCAATCCTGAAAAAAAAATTGGCTTTGAAATATCTAGAGACACACACTCCAGTATTCTCAACACCCTGGACACGCAGTTACAATTATTCTCATTGTTCAGTTGAATTTCTATCCAAAAACAGCCTAAAGGAAGTACTGTTTCTCCTTACCAGTCTGTTAAAATAAATTTTTCTAAGGAGTTACGTTGATAACATGAAAATTATAAATATTATTGATTGAAAAAATATTACTTCAATTCTCTCTGCTTTGTTTTTAAAAGTCTTGCTCCATTAACCAAGGTTCAGATTTACCAAACTATCTGAGTGCCAAGAGTCTGTAAGCCTTCCTTCTTAGAAGCATAACAAAGCCATAGGGAGGAAGGGAGTTAAATAAAAGCTGATCTCATGGGGAACATAAGAAATAAATAACAGAGAGGCACTGCTCCCTCAGCATGTTATCCAATTTACATTGACAAAAGAAATAGGAACTAGAGGTGAGGGCAAAGGAAATGTTTTCCTACTTGTGGTATTTATTTTCTTTAGTACAAGTTGGTTTGAAGAAGAAAGGCATTATGAAATTTGAACCTATACTCCGTCACACGTCCACGGTCACCATGTCCTGTCAAACTTTCCTTTAAAATTTCCACTGTCAAGGTTCTTCATCAAGGCCAAGACTTTGATTATGGGCCTAGACCACCAGTCGAGTAAGCTTACTCTTTATAGAGCCGGGCCTGTGAGAACACCACTTCCCTCATCATACTCCTTGGCTCAAGACCCAAGCGTTTCAAATTTATATTTCTGCTTTCCTTTCTATAATATGGCAACAACCCAGTGAGCTATACTAACTCCCCAAAACTCTTCAGTCATACTGGTATCCATACTACCTCTGCTTCTGGCCTCTCTAACCTTGGTAAATGTTTCCCTCATTGTAACTAAAGACAAAATTTTCTGTATTATTACTTACGAAAATCTTTTCTTAAATTTTATCGGAATATAGTTGATTTACAATCTTGTGTTAGTTTAAGGTGTACAGCATAGTGATTGTTTTATACATATATATATATATATATTCATTCTTTTTCAGATTCTTTTCCCATATAGGTTATTACAGAACACTGAGTGGAGTTCCTTGTGCTACACAGTAGGTCCCTGTTGGTTATCTATTTTATATACAGTAGTATGTATGATAATCCCAAGCTCCTACTTTATCCCTCCCAGCCACGTTTCCCCTTTGCAAACCATAAGTTTGTTTTCGGTAGTCAAGTCCTAACTCAAAAAAGAGCTGGGACGAAGTGAGAGAGTGGCATGGACTTATATATACTACGAAATGTAAAATAGATAGCTAGTGGGAAGGAGCTGCAGAGCACAGGGAGATCAGCTAGGTGCTTTGTGACCACCTCTAAGTGGGATAGGGAGGGTGGGAGGGAGGGAGACGCAAGAGGGAGGAGATATGGGGATGTATGTATATGTATAGCTGATTCACTTTGCTATACAGCAGAAACACACCATTGGAAAGCAATTATACTCCAATAAAGATGTTAAAAAATAATTAAAAAATTTAAAAAAAGAATAATGGGAGAGACCCCCCCAAAAATAAATTAAAAAAAATACCTTATCATTTCTTAAAGAATCAAAACCACAATTATTTTTCTCTTCTCTAAAACTACAGATGTGCTTCTGTCTGAACACACAATCTATCTCAGTAATCATGAATGTTTAATTACACAACTCAAGTTTCAGTAGCATAATTCTTATCCAAGACATTGTGACATTCAAATGATTGTGCTTTAATAAAATAGGTAAATGCAATAACAATTAGAGGTGACAGTTATTAAACAATTATATTTTTATTATAATCTGCTTTGCAATTTTAAAACTGCAATTTTCTGATTTTTTAATCTTTCTTCAAACTGAGTTCTCTTATTAATCGTTCTTAATCACTCTTATTAATATGTAAAAGCAAGCAAGTTGATACATCTTGTTTTCAGAAAGTTAGTTCTAAAATGCAGTATGGTAAAAAAGTATAACCTAAAATATCCTTTAAAGTATAAAAGGTATATTTCCTTCTAAAGTTTCATTTAAAAAACAGCCAGAAATCTCCAGAAGTCACCTGTCAATCTTCAAGACTCTTTTGTTTGCTATTAAAAATAGAGCTCTAGTAACATTATTTAAAATGCTGCCATACTAATGTTCCCCCAGGGATCTGAGGTACAGTAACAGAATACATAACTAAGTGTCTCACACAAATAAGTTTCCTCTGCATTGTGTTATACAAACAATGTTTGGGTGGTGTATTTTAAAAGGGAAAAAGCTAAGAGGCATGAGTCTACCACAACACAGAAGGAAACAGATAATGGAAAAAAGCATAATGATGGCTAAAAATTGAAAATAAAAATAAGAATGCTTATGCTCTCAACTATCTTTACTAGAGGACAAATTTTTTTCTCTAGTTGACTGAAAAAGATTTCACTGATGAGTTCTATTTTCTCCATGGTGGCTATTCACAGAAGTAATGTCTTTTGCAAGATTTGTATAATTCTTGACAAAGGCAGTAAACACTAGCAACTGAAGGGCGCCTTATAGTAACCTAGCAACAAGAAGCAGTTTACTCCTGGTAGAATTTATATGGCTTCCTCCCAGACTTTTCTAGTCATGATATACTTTATAATATCTTGGTGAAATCTACAAGCTTAGACTATTAAAGCAACTAGTAGGAATGGAGACAAAGCTATAGGAGAGAAACAGGGTGGGAATGAATTACAAAAACAGTAAGAAAAACTTGCCTCCACCTTACATGAAATACCTCCAGTCCCTGATCGAACAACAGATCTCTCTCTTCTCAGCTCATTAATGAGGGCACAACCTAAGTAACTTCTGAAAGAAGGAAATGTCATTCTTTGAAAATAAATATTAAATGCGTAATAAACAGAGTAATGTGCAATATTCCTTTTTTCTGTTTGAGAAAAGAAAGCACTTGACTCAAGACTCACTGCACTGCTACCCCACCTCCAGTTATTTCCACTGGGGGCAAAGATGACCCTTGAGCAGAATCTACAACTGCTGATGACTGATGGCATCTTCTGTTACTTGCTCTATCTATTCACGGCAAAACAAAGACATCATGAAAGTATTTTCTTTAAAGAACATTAGAAGTTTGACTACTCAGATTAGAGCCACTAAAAGATGCTGAAACAAGATAAAGCTGGCGTAGGCCTAGGCGAATTTGGAATGGCTGCCAGGAAAATGAAGCTATCGATAGGCAGAATTTTGACAAGGTGGGAGAAAGGAAGCAGTTTGATGCCTGATTCTTGCTTTGTAAAATATTTAGAACAATGCTAATGCTTTTTCCATTCAATGCTCAATAGTTTTATTTTCCTTCCTCACTAACAGTTGTGAGCATGTCCAAGACAAGTGGGCACTAACACTGCAATTTAAAAAATGGCTCCACAAACAAACAGTGGAAGAAGAAAAAAATGCAAGTATGACTTATTCTTTCTTATAATATATTTGAAGCAAATGGCGGAAGTGCAAATACCCATTTATATACCCAGGCTCAACAGATTGAATTTTTGTTTGATTTTATTGTTGCTTGATTCTGGGTGGAGGTTGCTGCTTACAATACTTTATTCATCTTTTTTTTTTCCCCCCACTAGGCCTGGCACAGTGCCTGACATTCACAAGGCAGGCACAAAACCACACATTATTTAAATCTTAGAAAATTCCACCTACAAACTAATTATCTGTTTCAAGGAATTTCTCGTGAGTTAGCTAATTATGTGAGCGCTCAAATGCTGCTTGCTGAGCTGAACTGCTTGCGATTAAATTTTTCAATGAAAACGAACACTGCCCTCTATGTTGTAGCCATCAATCTCCCTGAAGTACCAGCAAGCCACCAACATTCACCTCAGTATCTGACACATGTGGCTCTGTTAGGGACTCCCTCACATCTCCCGTGCTGCCTAACTCCTGTTCACTCAGTCAAGATGCCAATCAGGTACCACCTCCTCCGGGTGAGGTACCTCTTCTTCGAGCACCTGTAGGGCCCTGCATAGTACTTCTCACATCATATGGTCATGTGATTCAGCTGTCTCTGACCTAGACTCTGAGCAATCTGAAGTACAAGACCGTACATCACTTGTATTTCTATTCCCAGTGCCTATCACAGTATTGGGTCCAAAAGAAGACACAAACATTTGTTAGACAAAGGTTTGTTTAACAGTTTTGCAGAAGGTATTAATTCATGCAGACACTCCTTTATGATAATATGAGTTTTCCTGTATGTCCTCTTATTTTTCTATATGCTATCTGCAACTATCAAGGTTAAATAATGTTGATTCAAGTCATCATGATAGGGTCCACTCCAATTTAGACATTTTTAGCATATAAATGGAATCTCCATAATTTGAAAAATATATATGTCCACGACTGTCACAGGAGTCACTGCGCTAAATCATGTACTACATTACTGCTGAAGGAACTCTTAAGAATACATGGGAGAATTCTGTCATTATCACTAACTCACCCCTCCTCTAAACCACCAAGGCACTTCCCACAAAATGTTTCATTATGTGGCAAGACCTTCCTCATCTTAGTATTAAATATTTTCTAAACAGAAAATAAAAAAGCAACACTTTTTCGCTTCCTCTCCCCATCTTCCTTCTCTAATTTCTTCTAACACTCGTCTCTCTCCCCCTTTCTCATAAACACCATACACACACACACACACACACACACAGCTACAATGAGGAACAGAAATCTACACTAGAAAAAGATATATTTGTAAATATCTAATCCTAAAGATGTCTGGATGGTATATTCCTACTATGATTAAAAATACATATACATAACATGTAACATTTTATGTGCCAGATTACATGTAATATTTTAAATTTTCATTCACTTAACACTTTATACATATCTGGTCAAAAAATTATCAATATGATATGAAGATTAATAAAATTAGCACAAATATTAGCAACCATTTCCTAGCATTGCTGGGACAAAGTACAGCTTTACTACATGACAAGCAAAATAAAAAATAGGGATAAAATCAACTGTTCCATTACCTTTAAGACACGTTTGATAGACCCCAATACAAAGTTTCTTTGTGGATGCTTTCTGTTCTGAAGGATCCAGTCATGATTTAACACCTTTTCCCCTTCTTCTAGTATACATTTCTGACCTTGGAAATGTGGTTTCTCATATAAAATCCAGCTGAACAAATATGAAAGCATGATCAGTTATAATTAATTTTCTAAGAAACGAGGCATAAAACAAATGATATTTATAATTCACAGACCATCTTCCCTACTTAAATTTTAATATCTGGGCTATTTTCCACTACTAGCATATAATCCTATTTTGAAACAATGATAAATATGCTAATGTAAGGATAAGCAAAGAGTGAAGAATAAAAGCGCACAGAACTTGGAAGTAATACTTCCTGAACACAGCACCACAGTCTATGCCTGTGCCTGTATTTATGTATACATACACTTTACAGATGCTGTATACACATTTACATGAAAAACAATAGCTGGGGCTTCCCTGGTGGCACAGTGGTTAAGAGTCCGCCTGCCAATGCTGGGGACACGGGTTCGTGCCCCGGTCTGGGAAGATCCCACATGCCGCGGAGCGGCTGGGCCCGTGAGCCATGGCTGCTGAGCCTGCACGTCCGGAGCCTGTGCTCCGCAATGGGAGAGGCCACAACAGTGAGAGGCCCGCGTACCGCAAAAAAAACCAAAAAAAACAACAGCTTAACAATTCCAAATTCCATTTCTACCCTAATTTTCCTGTCATTGGACAACAGAGCACATGTGTCTCATTTTATAACATGAAGATACACTACACGACACTGCTTTAACGTGACTGACCAGTGGGTAACGCAAACACTGGACAAAGAAACTCTGGCCCCCACATGTCCAGGGGACATGGTCCATAATAACAAATGAGGTTTTCCATCATTTTTACACCATACAAAGAATCTTTCACTTCTTGAGCAGGTCAGTGATACAAATGACTTTTTAAAAATTTATTTTTGGCTGCATTGGGTCTTCGTGGCTGCGTGCGGGCTTTCTCTAATTGCGGAGAGTGGGGGCTCCTCTTCATTGCAGTGCGCGGGCTTCTCATTGTGGTGGCTTCTCTTGTTGTGGAGCACGGGCTCTAGGCGCACAGGCTTTAGTTGTTGTGGCACGCATGCTCAGTAGTTATGGCTCACAGTCTCTGGAGCGCAGGCTCAGTAGTTGCGGTGCACGGGCTTAGTTGCTCCACAGCATGTGGGATCTTCTTGGATCAGGACTCGAGCCCATGTCCCCTGCACTGGCAGGCGGATTCTTAACCACTGTGCCACCATGGAAGCCCGATACAAATGACTTTAAGCATGTGGCCTTCACATTCCTTAGTGTCCCACAAATTTTGAACTCATTTTCAAAGCTATGCTTCGTTCAATTGAAGCCTTCAACTAAACTTGCCAAATCTATCCTGCTAATAATGCAGTTACAAAATGGTACTGATTATATATACTGTATATATTAGGACTTACTACTTACTGCAGGCTGTAAGTACTAAAAACAACCTATATTTTCTGTCACAGTAAATAAAGAGAACAATTAAGTTATAAAATACAAATAACGTTTCAAACAGTTATTCTAGAGGAAAAGGAATGTGACCTCGATACAAAAAATATAAAGCATAAACAGCAAGAAAACACTTAATTTAGGGGGAAAATGCTATAAATTTTAAGAGATCTCTTACCAGCCCCTTACAACTTTTATCAGTACCCCATTCGGAAAGGACCAAGATGTAGCATCGGGAATATTACAGTAGATCTCTTGTTTATATTTACTTCCATGGAGATCATAGATAACCAGCTGCAACACACAGTAAGTAGGCACAATAACTAATTTTAAGAATGCATTTAAAATTCCAAAATGTCCTAGAATGTAGAAAATAAAACATCCTAAATATATAAAAATATTACTTTAGATGCTAAATCCTTGAGTAAAACAATCATGTTCTAAGTCAGTTAAAAGTACTTACTTTAAACTCCCAAACGTAAAAGTAACCTTACTTCTTTTATTTTAGTCTACCTAAGAAACTTGTGCTTACCTTCCCAGGTCTTGGGTTACGCTTCAGAGTTTGTTTGTCAACGTTCTGAAATAATAAAAGTGGAAGAAGTAAGCCTTAAGAAACATAAACAGAAAGATATACAGTTCACTTTCTTAGCGGTCACAGATCCAATTTATCGCATATTTATTTAGTGGGCATCATTACAAGGTGCACCTCTAGGTACTACAAGGGATATAAAGGTAAATACAAAGGAAAATAAAGCTTTGTCTCTGCCCTCAAGAAGCTTATAGCTTAGAAAGGGGAAACAGGTGATCACATTCCCATGTCTCTTCTAGGTGGGGGATTAAGTTAAACCCTCAGGTAAAATACAATCAAAATGCCAAGTTATGGAAGTCAAGAGAAATGGCACCAGCATGGAGGTGAGGTGATGGCAGAAGAAGGTTCCCAAGAGGCTTGTGTGAAGTAGTGGTATGGAGCAGACCTTGAAAAACAGGACTTCAGTAAGTGAAAAAATGTGGCAAGTTGGTGTGGAGGTAGTAAAGAAAAAAATTCCAGGAAGAGACCATCTTGAGAAAAAGTGCAGACATCTTACAGGGCGTGGAACCAGCACACAAAGAGAGAACGCTAAGCAAACAAGACTTGGGGACCTCGTCATAGAGTGAAGTGGTTGCACTTGACTTAGTAGGAAATCAGGAACCATTAAAGAAACATTTCTTCAAATACCAAGCCTTCTTTTAAAAGGACCTTGCCTTGCAAGCTATTGGTTGGTATTCAAGTATTAGTACTTGCTACTAAGGGTATTCAAAGTACAGATACAGTCCTTGGGAATCCTAGAGAAAGTTCCATGATCTTGGAATGTCAGAAAGGAATGTCCTGAGACTTCCCTGGTGGTGCGGTGGTTAAGAATCTGTGTGCCAATGCAGGGGACATGGGTTCGATCCCTGGTCTGGGAAGATCCCACATGCCGCGGAGCAACTAAGCCTGTGCACCACAACTACTGAGCCTGCGCTCTACAGCCCACGAGCCACAACTACTGAGCCCACGTGCCACAACTACTGAAGCCCACGTGCCTAGAGCCTGTGCTCTGCAACAAGAGAAGCCGCCGCAATGAGAAGCCCGTGCACTGAAACGAAGAGTAGCCCCCGCTCGCTGCAACTAGAGAAAGCCTGCAAGCAGCAATGAAGACCCACAGCAGCCAAAAGTAAATAAATAAATATATTTAAAAAATAAAAGGAATGTCCCATATTCAATGAATAGTCTATAGTAAACATTTAAATATTTCTAAGTTGAAGAAAAGTGTAATTGAATTTCAAGACATTTTCCAGCTATAATGTTTTCATCTCCTTTTCTCTGAATTAGTCTGTTCATTGCCCTGCTATGTATGAACAAGAACAAGACCAACTACAGTGAGAGACTGTTGTCAAGCAAAGACTTAAAATATTTTAAGTAGTTAAAATATTTTTAAGTATTGTGAAATATTTTCTTGAGACACATAAGCTCAACAGCAAGTGACAATTTTTCTACATACAGTACCTTGAGAAACTCAGAATGCTGTCACTTAATTTAGTTTGAAAACTAAAAATTAGCAAAGAACTGGGATATAACTTGCTTCTCTCTTATGCCTTTTAAATTCTGATGAAGCAATTTTGTTTTCTCAAATATACCAGTCCAGCTAAAATTCGTGAGTTATGATACACTTCAAAGAACAAAGTAACCTCTGGTATTTTTTAAAAAAATCTTTCACAACCTCAAAACACTGATTTTTTTTTTTTTTTTTTTTTTTTTTTCTGGACGCACAGGCCCAGCAGCCATGGCTCATGGGCCCAGCCGCTCTGCGGCATGTGGGATCTTCCCGGACAGGGGCACGAACCCGTGTCCCCTGCATTGGTAGGCGGACTCTCAACCACTGCGCCACCAGGGAAGCCCAACACTGATTTTCTTAATAAAATTTTAGATCATTTCATGATCCAAAGCACTACTTCACTAGTTAATAATCAAAATAACTTACCTCTGTGAACGAGCTTAATCGGCCTGAGGTGTCTCGAGCACAGAAATATTTTGACACCGGTTCCTGAAAAATTCCACCAAATCTGGCTCCTTTTTCTGAGGAACGGATTTTGGAAGTCTGCAAATACTGATGATAAGCACTCTTTAAAGAAGAATGTAGTTTGGAAGTAAGGTCAGATTTTTGTAGAAAGGAGGCCTTTTCTGGCCACAGACCAATTTGCAGATTAGAGGTAGTAGGCTCATTTGACATCACATAAGAACTCTTAGAAACGCCAGTACTTTCCTGGACATCATCAGGGCAAAACGCGATAGAAGAATCTGGCAGCTTGAAGGTAACATTTTCCCGCCTTCTAGCTCTCAGACTTCCTTTGTGCAATGGCTCTTCCTCCTCTTTCTCCTCTTCCCCTCCCCTCCATCTGTCATCTTCATCCAAATTCATCTTTAAACGCTCCGATACTGACTGGAGAAGCGATAAAACAGAAGAGGACTGGTTTGCACTCTCTCTTGATTTCGTGGAGCCATGATGGCCAGGTGAGATTTCGCTGGATAGAATGTCCTCCTGAGAGCTGTCATCCTCATAAATGGGAGACAAAGCTAAGGGATAAATCTTGTACCTTTTGGCCTCTACTGATAAGAACATTTCTGAACTATCATCATCGAATGTCTCACCTAATTTAGTTTCCTTTTCAAAATGATGGACGAGGTCAGTTCTACTTTCAGACCTTTCACACGCGGAAACAGGCATGCTGTTGGTAGATGTGTCAGGAATCAGGAGGGACTGTGTTCTTCTTACTTCTGCAGTAGCATACTTGTCCTCATCTTGAAGAGGCTCTTCATATAATATAGTAAAGGAAGAACTTTCTTGTTCATCCTGAGCAATGAAGTCTAGGTTAGGCTCTTCCTTTTCATCTCCATAATCTAGATCTCTTATTTTCTTATGTACTGCAGTAACAGATGTTCTTCTGTCTAGCTTTCCTATGGTAGCCTCGGGTTGAAAATCTGGCATTGCTAAGGCCAGGTAGCCTTCATAATCCTTACTTAGCATAGGTGATTCATAACCCCTGAAAGAGGTGAGTCTAGTGTCAAACGCTGTCAAGCATGCCTTCATTTCAGTAGGCTCCTTCTCCATTTCTCCACCACTCCCTTCAGCAACCTCTTGGGGTGCTTTTTCAGCTTCAGATATGGGAGGCGTGGCCTCTTCTTGTGTAACAGGCAATTCCAGATCTGTTCCGTATGTTTTCTCAAGGTTTACCACTGTGGACAACACTTTATGCTTCCTGACAGTCCCATCAGAATTTTCTGGGGATGTCCTTTCCATGTCTATCTTAAAGGGCATGGACACAATCGTTCCAGTTGTCTCTTTTGCATCTCTCTTACATGCTTTTTCCATTTCTAAGGAAGCAGGTAGTGCCTTCTTGTGTGCTTCTTTCACTTCTAACACAAAAGGAGGTACTATTTCAGTTTTCCTAATAACCCCTTTGGCATCCTTTTGGTAAGTGTTTTCCACGTCCATCATAGGTCTTTCAGTCTTTCCAGTGATCTCCTCACCATCTTTTTGGTAGATATTTACCACTTCTAATGTAATGGGCATCACCTCAGTTTTGTCCATCTTTCCTTCAGCATCTTTTTGGTAAATATCTTCCATTTCTAGCGTAGCAGGTATCATTTCAACCTTTTCGGCAGTGCCCTCAACATCTTTGTGGTAGAAATTGTCCATTTCTGACATAACCAAAGTCATCCCGGTCTTACCAACATCCCCTTCAGCATCCTTTTGGTAAACATTTTCCATTTCTAACGCGGCAGGTATCACTTCAGTCTTTCCAGTGATTCCCTCTGCATCTTTTTGGTAGACATTTTTCAGTTCTGACATATCAGGTGTTATGTCAGTTTTGCCAATATCCCCTTCAGTATCCTTCATTTCATAAGCTTTTTCCATTCCTAAAATGGCAGGTAATCCCTCAGTTTTTTCAATATAGCTCTCAGCATCCATTTGGTATGCTTCTCTCATTTTAAGAATTTCAGTTGCTGGCTCAGTTTTTGAGGTATGCAATTCAGCATCCTCTTTATGTGCTCTTCCCACTTCTGACATAGGGGGGACTGCCTCATATTTCATAATATTCAATTCAGCATCCTTCTTATTTGGTTTTCCCATTTCTACCATGGAAGGTATAAGCTCAATTCTTCCTATATTTACTTCAGTATCCTTCTTGTGTACTTTCCCTACTTCTGACACTGCAAGGGGTATGCTTTTATTACTATGGCCTGGCAAGCTTTTTTCAGATATACATAAAAGAGTATCAGACAAACCGCTTTTCGATGTCCCAGGTACATGGATGTCATCATTCACAAATGGAGGCCATGTGAAATTTAATACAAGAGTTCTTCTTTCCTCTGTCTCAGTTTTGTGATTATCAACACACTGTATTTCCATTTTTTCTTTACAGTCCTTGTTGAGAAACGAATGTGTTTTTGACTTATCATCTAACCTTGTATGGGGCGTGTCTTCAGCTAGTAAAACAGTATCTGGCTCCTGCAAATTTATACTATCAGACTGTCCACCTCTAGTTCCTGAAAAAGGGGATTTTGGGTAGAGAACAATTTCTCTTCCTTTAATTGACTCTGTGTCACTAACTAAGTTACTTACAGCAAAGAATCTACCTAATACTTTTTCACTAATTTCACATGTGCTTTGATTTACTGCCTGTTCTGACACTAAGAACTCCCTTACCATATCAAGCGGCTTCAGAAGTTTTGAAGTATTAGCCTGAAGTTCAGAATCCCGGGTATCCTGAGCATCATTTGCTGAGGTTTCTTGGGCTGAATAAATAATCTCATTGACTAATTCCCTAGCTTGATCTTCTAACAACCAAGATACATTCATTCTATCAGAATCAAAAAGGAGACTCTTCTCACCAACCGTAGGTGAAGCACAAGCCTTTTCTTCCCCTTGGACTTCAGACATATTTTCCACGGCCTGCTCTTCCAAATGCTCTGTCAGCTGGATCCCTGTCAGTGTCACTTCTGATGGGTTTTTCTCAAGGATGTCTTCTTTTAGGGTACCTGGATTCATTATGCCGCCTACGGCTATATACTCCTGGCAGGTACCAACCGTGCGTCTGGACTTTAGCTCTTCCCTGACAGAATTAAAGATCTCACCAATCAATGTATCAGCCTTTTTACATAAACCACTTTCGAGGTCCAGAAGTTGCTCACGTGCTCTCCTCCTTGCTTCTATGTGCTCAGCAGATGCTTCGGAACACTGCTGGCTTGAGCTGTTAACTGACGCTGGGGCCCCAGCAACTGCTCCAGTCTCTGCTTCCATAGGACTGTCAAATTGGGCAGCAGTTGGGAAATCAACTGATACCATCCCAGTATGATCCCCAAAATGGTCCTGAAGTGGGGTGACTTCTGCCCCTGTTGGGAGAGATGTTTCAAATTCCAAATAAGAGCTATCAGGGTACAGCAGGTTAGTCAAGGAGGTACCTTCATGTGGGACATCTATGGTAACTTTTACAGAGCTAAAATCATTTGGGGGATTCTGTGAACTTGTAACCATGCTAACTTCTTCAGAGTTACTGGAGGAAGAAGCCATGCCATCAATACCACCACTTAGGAGATGAGCACCCTCTTTCTTTCTGTGAGATGAGGCTCTCTTTTCTGATCTCAGCACAGAAGGATGAGTACGAAAATTTGAATCCTCAGATGCAAACGCATTTTTTTCCAAACTCACACCAGAGCCCAGAAAAGGTGCATTTACTGCTGTGCTGTCAGTTTCTTGGAATTTGGGGGAAGTACTAGTTAAACTGAGTTCTGCCATTTCTGAAAAACCAGAAATCTTTTTGGTCCCACAGATAACTGAAGGTTGATGAATCACAGAAGTGTTGGCTTCACAGTTCTGTGCCATTTGCCTAGTGACTTTTCCATCATGAACAGCAGGTAAAGTCCCAAGTATTTTACTTTGGAGAAGAGCAGAATTACCTGAGGCTTCCAACTCTGCTTCCTGTGTACCTTGATATTTGGAGGCAGGAGGAGAAACCTCAGTTTGGCAATTCTCTTTAAGGCTGGCATCTGAATATTTCTCTTTAATTTCTTTATGACCCACTAACTGAAAACTTCTGTCCTGTTCAACTTCTAGGGAAGTCAATTCTGATAAAAGAGGACTTGCTGGCACATCTGTAATTTCAAGTGGAGAAGAGATTGTATCCTGAGAAATGTCTCTGGGCTCTGTTTGGGGAACAGGTATCTTGGAGAGACCTAGAGTTTCTCCTCTTCCAGAATATGACCCAATAGGAACACTGTTCTGACCGTCAACTTCAGACGTTGACAACATTTCTGCAAGGTTATCAGTTTTGGTTTCCAAGGAGAAAAGAGAATCAGACTTGCCTATAGTGCCCTGACTTGCTTTGGCATTTGACAGCATGAACTCTGCTTTATCACGGTCTTGAGATGAAGTGGGACTGTGGTCCTTAGAGAGGCTTTCGGACTCAAAGCTCAAGTCCACTGCAGTTAAGTGGGTGTCATTGGCTTCAAGACCTAGTGGAAACTGGCATTTTTCACTATCAGGAAGAACTTCCTTAGACTCAGGAATTACAGATGCACGCTCAGGATGAAGGCAAGCAGGGAGACTCTTCCTGTCTGTGGCCTCAGCATGATTTGCCACATTTTCTTCTTGACACTTACGAGGCTGATGGGAAATACCAATGATGCTGACATCCCCAGTTTCAATGAGCACAGAGGAACCTTCATTCTTTAAGACAGGAATATCCAACCTGCTCAGCATGCCAGCTCGGGAAACAAAGGTAGGAGATGAAGTACTGAAATCTGATTTTTTATGGTCAAGGTTAAGAGATGTCCTGGGATCAGGTGATGCTTTGGCTTGCTGACGACTCTCAGAGTCAAGAATAGATCCTGAAATGTGATTTCTATTCAGTTCAGGTGATATTTTATTTTCTAAGCATGCTACAACGGCTAATTCACTGGTGTGTTTTACAGAGGCAGCATCCTTTTCATTCATTCTAACAATGGGAGGCATTTTGCTATGTGGCCTAACAAGCTTCTTGGCTTCTGTTACCAACAACTTGTCAGTACCTTTGGGTAATGACTCGATTCTACCTTCTGGAGCTTTTACATGACTTGAAGTTGTGGGTTCACCGACTGAGGTGCTTTCTGTTTCTTGCTTGATTTCTGTAGGAGCCAAATTTTCCTGTGTGTCCAGGGCAGACAATCTGTTTTCTTCACTTATAAGTTCTGTGTCTGTTACAGCATGTCTCTGGAGAGCAATGTTGCTAGTGTGATTGGCAGCGTGCTCTGACGAGTTACCTTCGGTGTGCTTGTCAGAACACTTACTCTCTGGCCACTGCAGAGCTTGACGCCTAATTGATTTATTTGGACTTGGCAAATCTGTATTTCCATGTTTGGTAGTGTCACTCGAAACAGCAGGGTTCTCAGGCTCAACACACTCCTCTCTTTGCACCAGTGTCCCATCACTCATCATCGAGCTGTTTTCTATTACCGTAGTTTCTGGTGTTGCTGTCCTCTGCAAGTCTGGACTGCAAGGAATTTTGCTACTGTTACTTTCTGTAGACAATGCTGAACATACCAAATTTCTGTCAGTCTGAGAGACTGGTATGCAGCTTAAATGGTGCTGTGAGTCAAATTCTTCATCAGTGGAGCTAGAGTTAGTCTCAGAACGGGATGACCGACTTCTCTCAGGTCCCCCAGGATCATTTTTATTTAAAACATCCCTAGAAGAAGCGGTGCTAGACAGTTCTCGGTTGTTTGTTGAATGGCTTTCTGGGTTGATATTTATTTTATTATAATCAGAGTCTTCTATCCGGCCTTTAAGCACTTGTCCTTTCACAGAAACGTCTGTGCTAGCTGATGACGATGACACCATCCCAGCCTCTGTCTCACTTCCAAGGCCAATATGTGTGCTCGTACTAGAGTCGGAACTTTCATTTTCTCTGTCTAAGGGATTCAAGGTTTCCAGCTCCGTCCGCTGCTTCAAATACTTCCTAATTTGTCTGGGGCCTCGGTACGTGGCATATGTTACTACAGGCCTCTCTGGTTTACCATCCATTTGTCTGCAAAAAGAAATAGCATGAGAGTATCAGGAAATATAATTAGTAACACTTAACAGTAATTCCAGAAATCATGGTGAAGTATATCTTTCAAACACTCCTATTCTTCATATGTCCAAACTTGGGAAGGAAATCCTAGACTATTTTAGTTCAACCTATCTTTATTAAGCATAATACAGACGTGACCAGCAGCACATAAATGTCAACCAGCATGAATGTCTGAGCTCCTCAGAACTGTCCCTCTCACCTGATTACGTCTGTCTCTCTCACGGTGGTTAATGGAGCGAACGTGGGCTGACAAGCCTGAGGCTTGAGTTCTAGCTCTGATCTCCAAGGAGTTTTTGACTAGAAGGAACCACATTGCCTTTGTGCCTCATACTGGTACCTCATGGCTAATCACTGATTTCTCCACCATATCAGAGCATCATAGCGAGTTTCTCTTCCTTTATTTAGATGTGAATTTGGAACAGCAACTTTTAGCACAGAGTTAGAGAAGTTGTAAAGAAAACACCTGGCAAGACGTCTAGCCTGCAGTAAGCACTCAATATATACTTAAGTCAATAAATGACAGAATTCTCTTAAAAATCCTCTCTCCTGTTAAGTTCTTCAATTAGCAGAGTAAGTATTAAACTGGCTGGGTGAATGCAGAAATCAAAAAAGGTTTCTAGCACGAGTTCCCTACTTTTTCTCAACCCTAGCATAAAGCTCCTGATGTCCTCAGCATCTAACTTCTTTTGGAGAATCTACCCCTGGGAGCTCTGATGCTATGCTATGCTATGCTGCCTTACAGCCCTTAACACACACCTTTCTCTCCCCTTCAGTTCCAGCCCCAGACAGAAGCTTCTGTCCTCTAAGACTCAGTTCCCAAGTTAACCCCAGTGCAAACCTACCCCAGGACCCCGTTACTGCTAGAACGGGCAGTTAGCCTCTGATCTGTGGGGACACAGGGCCCTGAGCACATCACTTGCCATATTAGATTATAAAGATATATGCACTGATTTATTTCCCCACTAACCTAGTGCCTATTTGAAGGCAGGCACTACATCTTCATCATTTTCTTTTTTTTTTTTTTTTTGTGGTGCGCAGGCCTCTCACTGTTGTGGCCTCTCCCGTTGCGGAGCACGGGCTCTGGACGCACAGGCTCAGCGGCCATGGCTCACGGGCCCAGCCTCTCTGTGGCATGTGGGATCTTCCCGGAGAGGGGCACGAACCCGTGTCCCCTGCATCGGCAGGCGGACTCTCAACCACTGCGCCACCAGGGAAGCCCCATTTTCATATTTTTAAGTGCCCTACATAAGATTTGGCAAATGATGTATGTTTAATAACTTTGTGTGAATTAATGAATGGCTAAGTAAAGCAATGATACTAAACGCTAAGTAATTTGTTTCTGTCTTAATCCTTATAGATGATACAAAAGTGTTTTCAATTCTGCTCTCTAGTTACATTTTAGGGTCCCAGCTACAAAAATGTATGGTAGAAAAACTTGATGTATGCTCTAACTCTTTCAGGTTAAACATATAATTAACAAAACATTATAGAACCCATATGAATAACTAAGAAATCCAGTTATCAGTATTCCAGTATCTAAAAATGAGGTATTTTCTCCCCAACTTTATTTTTTTAATTTTTTAATAAATTTATTTTTTTTTGGCATTGGGTCTTCATTGCTGTGCACGGGCTTTCTCTAGTTGCAGAGAGCAGGGGCTACTCTTTGTTGCTGTGTGTGGGCTTCTCACTGCGATGGCTTCTCTTGTTGTGGAGCATGGGCTCTAGGCACGTGGGCTTCAGTAATTGTGGCTTGCGGGCTCTAGAGCACAGGCTCAGTAGTTGTAGCACTCGGGCTTAGTTGCTCCACAGCATGTGGGATCTTCCCGGACCAGGGCTCGAACCCGTGTCCCCTGCATTGGCAGGCTGATTCTTAACCACTGCTCCACCAGGGAAGCCCTCTCCCCAACTTTAAAGCAACACCATGAAGAATGCTAGGTTTGTCCACGTGATAAAACACAAAGTAAACCTCTGACATGTAAAATCTCAATTAACTGTGCCCCTTAACGTAGTTCTTGAATTTTAGCTGAAATAATTTATTTCAATCTATATAACTGCTGGCCTCTAAAATCCTACCACACCACTATTGTAAAAGTTTGTATTAGTTACATTCATTTTACTGTCTATTTTAAAACAGCTACAGGAGATGTATAGAGAAAAGCTTTGCCTTGGAGAAGTGATTTTAGCTGCTACACAAATTTCAGGCTAGATCAAAGACAGCCTGTTAGATGAAACAAAGTTGGATAAGGGAGCCTATCTAAGAAAACATACAAGAAGAAAAAATACATATAGGTAAATTAATGTTATTGGTAAAATCCTATATCAAAATGCATAAATTATTCAGAAAATACAAGAGCCTTTCAGAACAATACATGAAGATCCAGAAGTATGAACAGATGACAAGAAGTTTTATTGTTTGATTTTTCTTTCAAAGCTTTTAAATTTTATACTTAAAACCTACTTTCAAGGCTGCAAATTTTTTTTTCCCTAAAAGATCACCAAAATGTACATGATGTCCGAAGAAATAAGACTCGAGAGATAAGGATCAGAAGTTTATTCTTCAAGTATAGTAAACTCAGGTTCTCTTACTACCAACTCCATCCTAACGAGATGTCAAGGCGTTTTATTCTACATCAATCCAATAATGCGACTTTTGCTCTAAAAGAACTTCTATTAAAATAAAGCACAGAGAAAAATCCACTCCAGAAAAAATTTCAGTTCACTGTAAGAATGCCTTTTGGTAGTTTTGGAGTCCTTTTTGGGGGGGTGGGGTGCGGATAATTGTTTTCCATTCCCATCTTGGGAGCTTTCTGGTTACTGTCAACTAGAATGATTAAACTAATTTATATGAACCAGTATAAATTTCTAATGAAATAATCTCCCTCAGCACCCTAGGTGGAAATGTTATACGCTTGTGACTAAAATATGTACCCTTTATACTAAACAACTATACTATCACGTTTAAAGCACTGAACATCAAAGTTTCAAGCTTAGCTTCATGTATTATAATTAGTCCTTTCAGGTACTGATGAGCTACACTCACACTTTGTAAAGGGTTAGTCATGCCAAGATAGTCTATTTTCTACAACATTCTCTCACAGGTTGTAGTTGAGTCTTCATAACTGAATAGTATTAAGACCATAAAACTGTCCTTTAATTAAGATTTTCCCTAATACAGAAAATAGAAAGAAAATGGAAATGTCAAAAATACATAACTTTACAAATAAACTAAAGATGGAAAATTAAAAAGGTTTATTTTCACAAACTGAATAAAGAACATATTCATTTCCTGTATTATGTAATTGTGCATGGGATCTGTAGCTTATCCAAAATAAGTAGAGGTATGTGATCCAAACAACACTAAGAAAAAAGTAAAATATCTAGAAATTTCAAATATTTAAGGGAATAGACATACATATTGAAAATCTGGAAAGGTTTTTATGCATTTCAGCCCAAACCTAACTACCTATCATGTGAAAGTTTATTAAGCCTCCAAGTACTACATATGGCTGTACTCTATCCTGGATAAACTTAATGCATCTGATACTACAAAGGTCAACCAAAGACATGTGTCATTCTTCAAAGAAAATTCTATAAAGGCAGCCTGAAAATAATAGCATTAGAGCAAAAGTATTCAGTATATCTAATTCACTTTTAGTAAGTATGATTAAGCTACATTTTTAGTGTTAAGATTTATTTCCTTTCAAATTACATAGTGAAGAATATCTTCAGGCTTCCCTGGTGGCACAGTGGTTAAGAATCCGCCTGCCAATGCAGGGGACATGGGTTTGATCCCTGGCCCAGGAGGATCCCACATGCCACGGAGCAACTAAACCCGTGCACCACAACCACTGAGCCTGCGCTCTAGAGCCCGTAAGCCACAACTACTAGAGCCCGTAAGCCACAACTACTGAAGCCCGCGCACCTAGAGCCCATGCTCTGCAACAAAAAAACCCACCGCAATGAGAAGCCCCCACTCGCTGCAACTAGAGAAAGTCCATGCACAGCAATGAAGACCCAACACAGTCAAAATAAAAATAAATAAATAAATTTATTTTTTTTAAAAAAGAATATCTTCTCTCTGGACCTCCCTGGTGGTGCAGTGGTTAAGAATCCGCCTGCCAATGCAGGGAACACGGGTTCGAGCCCTGGTCTGGGAAGATCCCATATACCGTGGAGCAAATAAGCCCATGTGCCACAACTACTGAGCCTGTGCTCTACAGCCCGCATGCCACAACTACTGAGCCCACACACCTAGAGCCCATGCTCCGCAACAAGAGAAGCCACCACAATGAGAAGCCCGCGCACCGCAACGAAGAGTAGCCCCCGCTAGTTGCAACTAGAGAAAGCCCGCACACAGCAACAAAGACCCAATGCAGCCAAAACAAAATAATAAAAATAAAAATAATTTTTAAAAAAGAATATCTTCTCTCACAATAGGGAAGGCTTTTAACTATTTTATGTAAAGAAAAGCTGCAAAACCAGACATTTACTTAAAAATCACAATAAAGTTTTGACAGAAGAGTTTCTCATGATGGATATGAATTTGCTGAAAATGTAAGAATTACAGAACTTTTTAAAGAATTTCAACCCAACAGTGAAGTAGCTTCCTACATAAATTACAAAAGAAGCATGAGTTAATGTATGGAAAGTAATCTAAAAAGTGTTAGCACAACAGGTTTACTTAAAGGCTTTATTGGTATTAAAAATGAAATTTGCATACTCAACGGTACATAAAAACAATTACAAAGCTGTTTATTATTTTTAATTAAGTGAAGATGAAATCATTTACAATGCTTTTTGATAAGGATTTTTTTCTAACACTTCAAATTATAGGTAATAACTTGTCTAAATTTTGACTTGTATACTTATATGATTATATTTGCATATACTATTTACATACAAATTTTGTATATAATTTTCTGATTTGCCAATTTAATGTATCATTGCTCACAGTTTTTATCATAGAGAGTTGGAAAACTGGAAGCAATCCTATCTACTGATCTTCTCTTTCCCGATACTTTCCATTGCTATCATGCTTAGAAAATTGTTTCTCACCAGAATAATTCACATTTAGCTGCTTTTAGTTTTGTATGTTTCTTAAACATTTTTATTCCACTTTAATTTTAATGTAAAAATGAGATGAGTATCTAGCTTTTATTTTTTTCTCCAAATTATTATCCCATTTCCCCAAGTCTTCCTTTTTACAAGAATACATAATGCCATCACATTCAAGGGCTCAAATCACAAAATACACGAGGGTCTATTTCTAGACTGTCTATTCTGTTCCATATAAATGTCTAGCAAATATTACACCAGTATTACATCATTTCTATTTACGTAGCTTTATCAGTACACTTTAACAACTGGTAGGGCAAGCCCCACCCCATCACTCTTGATGGACAAACCCAAATCCATCTGGGGTCTCAGTTCTCACAACTATAAGATGGGTCTGTGCCTACTCCTACTTCAAAAGCTTATTATGAGGAATTCACTGAAATCACACGCATGAGGACTCTCTGAAACTATAAAGAATCACATAGTCCTAAGTTGTCATCTATATCTGACTATAGTATTAACGAACTCTTCAAAGAACAAAAATAATTCTCAAGTAGAGTTTAAATTAAAATCAGTAAAACAGATCCATGGACTTCCCTGGTGGCAGAGTGGTTAAGAATCTGCCTGCCAATGCAGGGGACACCGGTTCGAGCCCTGGTCCAGGAAGATCCCACAGGCCGCAGAGAAACTAAGCCCATGCGCCACAACTACTGAGCCCTGTGCCACAACTGCTGAAGCCCATGCGCCTAGAGCCTGAGCACTGCAACAGAGAGTAGCCCCTGTGCGCCACTAGAGAAAGCCCACACAGCAACAAAGACCCAATGCAGCCAAAAATAAATAAATTAATAAATAAACTAAAAAAAAAAAAACCCAACAGATCCTTATCAGTTACGAATGAATACTTTTATGTTACACAAAATGTCTAATGGACTCAACATTGTTACAAACATTTTCTGGATAGAAAATGTTCCTTCTAGCTCATTTGAGTCAAAGAAAAACAAGTTAGTGCCCAGTTGTAAATCAAAGAAAGAAAAAAGGGGTGGTGAAGTGCTCCTTAAATTTCTTCAAGATTTGTTTCTTGGAGCTGTGGGAAAGGTTCAAAAGGCTAATTCCATAAATAAAGTCAATTTAATTTCTTTTCTTAACCCCTTTAATTGGATTCCACAAAGAAAAGATATTGATGGAATGTGAACACAAACCGTAGGATTATTTTTGTTCCCAAAATGCAGATACTGAACACACTGCCTGTCCTACTACAGAAGAATTCAGACAACAGAAAACACTCCCATTTAAGGAAGTCTTAAATCAGAAATAAATCGTTTACTATGACAAAGTTAGCACCTAAAAGGTATTAGTACCACCCCCTAAAATAGCTCAAAGGGCCCTAGGTATGTGTATGGTACACAGAATCATATAATTTTTCACCTAGTAGCAGGGACATTACAGAATACTTTTTCTAATCCCCTTAATTAACAGTAGTAGAAATAAGGCTCAAAAGCTAGGTCCAAAGGCTCAGTTTTTTTAGATAAGTAGATTTTAAACTTACTTTCTTAGCAAATCACTGGTTTCCTGTTCACTGTCTTGTGTTGTATCCAAAGAAAAGGCATCTGAGAGTTCAGCTGAGTTGGATTCTTGTGCTTCTGCTGGAAGTGCCAGGGTTCCCAGGGAGCCACTGACAACAGCCCTCTCCCATTGGACCCCTTCATCAGGATGGTCACTGGGATTTCGTAAGTCTTTCTCAGTTTTGTCATGTTCATCTTTGAAAGAAGACTGCTTGGCTTCACCAAGAGATGATTTTCCTGAGATGCTGAATAAGTTACCAAGAAACTGAAAAAAGCTTTCTTTCGGCTGTTTATCGCTTTCTCCCATTTTGGCATCTGAAGTGGAACCGGAAAGGTCATTTGGCTTTTTGGAATCTTCCTGTGTTGGAAGAGTGATTAGCTTCTCAGCATGGTTCCTTTTGTCCTCACTTTGGGGAATCTTTGAAAACGAAATAGAGAATATTAAGCAACATCATTTAAAAAATGACATAGGCTAACTGATAACCTATTACATGACACACTCTGTGCCCGATGCCAGGGATACATCTGTGAGTAAGACAGATGGCTTCTGTTCCCTAGTAGTTTACAAGCTACTGAAGGGCACCGTCAGTGCAACTTTAACAAAGCTATATAGTAAATATCACAAAGGGGGAAGGACAGCCCACATGGGGACCCAGGAGTAACTAGTCCAGATTTGGTTGTGGAGAGAGCAGAGGAGGTAACTCAGGGGATGCTTCCTAAAGGAAGTGCCCTCTGAAGGAGACCTAAAAAGTGCCTATGTGATGCTTGTGCATCTCCCTCACTCTCTGTTCTCCGCTCCCTGCTTCTTCTCCCCGTCTCTCAGCATTTAGAGAGGTGTCAGCTTCTAAGGAGTTTAAAAGGACTGGAGGTAAGAGTGTAAAATTAGAAGAGCAAAAAGTTAAGTATGGAGAGATAAGTAAAAGGACAGATCACGGCAGACCTCAGAGGTGTTTTAATTTAGCTTTCATTATTACAGAGCTAATGGACAGTATTTTTACACACTCGGTACATCAGACAACACCTAAATAGACTTCATCATTTCAGCACTGTGTTAACCTCTGAAGCTGCCACATGGTGGAAAACTGTTCCTCAGGAAGATGAGGAAAGACAGCAACGTGATGTATCAATTTAGAGGAAAAGCCCGCTACAAACTCTTCAAGGTAAAACACAAAGCCCTGATATGTGCACTAATGCAAACGGTGGGCAGCACCGGGAATTCTTGCAGACGATAAACACTTTCAGGGGTGCATCTTACCTGCTCATAATTAACCTACTAGTGAAGCAAGCTCCCATTCACGCGTACTCTGTGTGAGGAGACGGAGCTGCTCCATCCGAGCGCGTGCTGGCATTCCAGGGCACACTCCTCCCTAAAGCTGCGTTAGCTTCAGGCCAAGGGACCAGCTCAGCCTGCCTTCCCAACACGCTCACTCACCTACTTGTGAAAGGAATGCGGTCTGATAGTATGTGTCAGATGTCACACTCACTAGTCCTTATAAAAGGAAAGCTCAAGTGTGAGTCAGAAAAATATCAGGACACCAAGGTGAGACCACCTTAGGCCACTGCAGGTTCACAGGAAAACGTTTTGTACGAAGCTGATCTTCAAGAAGCCAAGAACATCATAAGTATAATGTCATTTGTTCACCTCCCTTCCCTGTTTTAATCCAAATCCAAAACAGTTTAAAGGAGTGTTCCACTAACCACTAATAATATTTGGCATATGGAGGGTTGAGAAAATGATTAGAGCCCATTAGCCCAGGAAATTAATTTCAAGCGAACAATATTTTTTGTTTGTTCCCACCTTAGAAGTCAGGGATATTTCTGAGTAAACACACAGCATAGCATTTTTCTGTGTGTTATGTCCTTAATATAACTTGTGAGTCTCTACGTTTAGAGTAGCACCAGCCTTCCAGAGGCACTCAAAGTCTCGCCTTTTACTGGTTTCAACGGCATCTCAATCCCACGCGCCTCCACTTCATCCACCCAGCCTCCTGCTCTTTATGGGGTCCGTCCTATAAATTAACTGCGCCCTCTCCTCGCGTTGACAGCATAGATGGCCTCTCGGTACAGCAGCAGGAAATATGCTAGTTGACATTTTGAAAGTGATCGTATGTATGAAAGACATATATTTTTTGCCTTTAACTACTCCATTTAATTTGCTGTAATGGCCACCCACAATATTTCTTCCTGCTTCAAAATGAACCAAGACTGCAGCACGAAGAGAACAGTGATTTGTTTCCTGCAACGAGTATCATCACTCCTCCTGGGAGGCTACCCGAGGAACGGGAACTACAGGCTGCTCACTAAAATAACACAAATATTCCTGAAATGCTTTAGAGAGTCACAAAGGAGTTCTATAAAATTGGGGCAATGGTTTTTGAAAAAGGAAAACTTAGAGAACACGGAAATTACATTTTTTGACATCCATAAAATCTCAAGACAAATAATTTGTCAAAAATACTATTTCTCTCACTGCCTCAATTATTTTTACTTGATGATTCCTTTCAAAATATAATGGACTGCTGTCTCAACAAGGAAAATACATTTTGCTAAACTAGTGAAAGCCTTCCCATTTAACGTTTTGAGAGTGATATATATAAAATTTTTAAAAATCACTTGTTTCTCTTTCCCCTCAATTATCACTTCTTTGCTATTCCAGAATCCCTGTATCTTAAGAGCATTTTCATGTCTTAGTTGCTTAATTTTTGCCTACTAATCTTGTGAGAAATTTGTATCAGTAATTAAAATACCTTCAACAACAACACCAAAAAACTATTTAAATTTAGAGGCAAGTTAGCACGAAAGAGCACTGCTATTCAAAGTTAACACAACAAACCCAGTATTTATATAACTACATCTTAAAATTTCATATAAAATAGCTGCTCTTTGCCCTCAGCCTAGACAACAATGAAGTTCAGCCTGCCACAAGCTAGGGCCAATGTCACCTGCCAATAGTACTGTCCGCCACTGTTCCAACGAGTACTAGAATGAAAGCACTCAGGATTCAAGCAAACGTTAACAAAACATCGGTTCCAGTTGCCCTCAAAGATGTTGGTATTCCGAATATAACATATAAAGGCTACTAATGAAGGCATATGTATCTTGGGAATTTAATTTTTTTCCCTTCATACTCAATATGTTGTAACGTAGTGTCCTTAGGTCCAAATTCATCCCTCTATCTAACTATTCTCTTTGCTATGTGCCCAATACAGGGAAACACAGGAAAGCATTAAGTACAATGATTAATAAGACTCAGCTGTGGCTTCAAGGAACTTACAGTCTAGCAAGATACTCATCATTATATCACTGTGTGGGGCATGGGAGAGATATGTACACAATGGAAGACAAAATTAATTTGGCTGGGGATGGGGAGAATCCCTTACACAGAGGTGATGTTTGAGCTTGCTCCTGAAGGGTGAGAAGAGCATTCAACACATAAGGTAGCGCCTGGGTCGAGCACACAGAAGTGTGAAGTACGTTTATTACGGCAGGGCTGTGGGTGAAGAAGACTGGGGCACAGAGGATAGAGAATGAATTCGATAAGATGACCAATTAGAAGTGGAGGGTGAGAGATAACAAAGTCACAGGTGATTAAGTTTTCTAAATTGGGAAACTAAGTAGTTAAGACAAAAATGGATATGGGAAATAGAAGGAAAGGTGAGATTAGAGCCTTTGTGGGGTTTGGGGGAGGTGAAGCAACAAACTAGATGTCAAACGTGCAGAATCTGTGGTCCCCTGGTGAAGCAGTCAGAGCACGGTTAAGAACACAATTTGGCGATACACAGTGTGTTCAGGGGAAAGGGGGACCAACAAAAGAGCCTTGGGGAAAAAAGATTAAAAGGCAGGCACAAAGAAGAAAAAAATCAGTGAAAGAGATGGGGAAGGCCAAAACCAGAAGAGTCATCCCACCAGAATACTGGTCTCCAAAGGCAAACAGCGAAGGATATTTCCGAAAGCAAAGGGGAGCAAATGCCAAACGCCACTGTAAGGTCAAGAAAGATGAGGACTTTCCTCCTCACTGTTCTTCCAAAACATGAGGCCGGGGCTTCCCTCGTGGCGCAGTGGTTGAGAGTCCGCCTGCCGATGCAGGGGACACGGGTTCGTGCCCCGGTCCGGGAGGATCCCACATGCCGCGGAGCGGCTGGGCCCGTGAGCCACGGCCGCTGAGCCTGCGCGTCCAGAGCCTGTGCTCCACAACGGGAGAGGCCACAACAGTGAGAGGCCCGCGTACAGCAAAAAAAACAAAACAAAACCAAAAAACCAAAAAAACATGAGGCCCACTCATCCCTCGGGAATTGTGCATTCACCCTTCTCTCTGCCTAGAATGTTCTTCCCCCACAGAGCTATATGACTCACACCCGCTCACCACCTTCAAACCTTTATTAACTGTCATCTCCATTTGAAGTTTCCCCAGTCACTCTATCTAAAACAGTAAACTCCTCCACTCTGAAACGGCCTATATTCCTTCTCTGCCTTTTCTCCTTTGTACTTGTTAGTATCAAATACACACATCTCACACACACACACACATATTATTTAATATGTTTCTTCCTCTAGAAAGTAAAAGCCTTATTTTTCTCCTTTGTACTTGTTAGTATCAAATACACACATCTCACACACACACATATTATTTAATATGTTTCTTCCTCTAGAAAGTAAAAGCCACAAGTGCAGGGTTTTTTGTCTGTTTTAGTCATTACTGTTGTCTCCAGCACCTTGAAACGTGCCTGACAATAAGGGGTGCTTAAATCCTTGTTGCACTAATAAACGAAGGAATGAAGACCATAGAGAAGCCCTAGGAATGCAGGAGAAATAGTCATAACAGCTCAGGAATTTGTGAGTACAGCCCCAAACGCAAGGTGTTAAACAGTGAACACAGAGCAAAGAAATAGGAACACTCGGTAAATAATTCAATAGAAGGCAACACTTTTGAGAGATTTTTTTTTTTAACTAGAGAAAAGGTAAAAAGGTGACAGTTTAAGGTCCAAGACAGCAGAAATGACTTTTTGTTCCTGTTTTGTGGCTCAGCTCTACACCTGGGGGGAAGGGAGTAACTGCTGTACAACAGAAGGATGACGGATATGAGGAAGAAAAGCAGAAGGTGATGAGATGAAGAGGCCAGTACAGTCTCTAATACTTCTAATAAAGGGGAAGCACGAGCTTTGGAGCTGAGTAGGGGCACTTCCTCTTCCAGCTACAGTGATAAGGAAGTGGCTAAAGCCTGAGCAATTCTGTAAGGGGGAGAAGACTATGAGCAAGGTCCAACGAGTGGCTCTGACCTCAGTAAAGCGAGAGGAGAGATGCTCAGCTGAAGAAGGGACACAGAGGTGGAGCTGGGATCTGAGCTCCCAAAATAGAGAAGACTTGGAAGAGCATTTGGGGGAATGCAGCAATAGGCTGAGACCAGGTGTTCCAAGGAAC